AAAGCAATAAACAATGCTCTTAAAATCCTCAAAATTAGGTTTTACTTGCAAAAAAATTTAAGACTAAAGTTTTAATGCAGTGTAAGTCAAAAATTAGTCTATGTTCACTGAAAATATATTTTAAAATCCAAGTCGTTCGTATTATATTGTACACATCATATTGTACACAACATAACAAAAAACATATGTCAAACAAAAGCATTTAACATATTTTAAAAGTGCTACCCATTTCTTTCAACTAGAGATAATGTTATTTTTTTTCTGCTCTGAAAGAAAAAATTACGGTTTAACATTGTAATATTCGTGCACAAGCATAGTTGCAACACATTTGAGCTTAGTGTAAATTGACAGAACAGAATTATTAAATAATTGTGAATTGAGTATTGTGAATGGATAACTTATAATCAATTACAAATGTGGCAACGCTGATGTGTGAAAAGTACTTAACAAGTGCATAAAAAAGTCAATTTACGAAGTATCATCCAAATAGATAGTAGGCTGGTGAAATAAGTTAAAATTAAAGAACAAAGTTTCAAAGAAATTAAAATAACTAAGTTTCATTTCAATCAAAATTTATTTAGAATTTGTTTCAAATTTGCAGCTGTGAAATAAAAACAGGCAGCAACATTACTTTCTAATCTACAAGTAATTTTTACGACTCTCGACAAAAGATGGCTACATCAATTGAGGATAGATTCAAACAGTTCACGGAGGGTTTATCCCAGAAATAGTAAGTTCTAAATATTTTTAATATATTAATAGTTTATAAAATAAACTACTTCTCGGTTATAATATTTAATACGCAGTTCTGAAATTTATATAAAGTCTACCTTAAGTGAAATCCTTGTACTGCTAATAGAGTAAATTATTTTTATAAAATGTTATGTATTTGGTATCCTGCAATATTGCCTGTTGATTCTGCAAGTATCTAAAGAGGTCTCACTTTCGCGTCTTTAAGGTGCTTCCCATAAATATAATCAAAAAAATGTACACCATTAAACTGTTTATACAGTTTACACAGACACAGGAGTTTTTTTTCTGCAATTATATTTTTAAACTTTGTATCTTGGCGACAGATTTTCTGACGTGTACTTTGTTTATATATATTTTTTTTGTAATAATGTTTCTTGAGGCAGGTTATGTGAAACCAAATCAACAATGACTAACGTGAAATAGACATATGTGTCATTATTAAGAATTTATGCAATTTCATAATTTACAATTTCAAATACAATTTGGAATATATATCAAAGGTCTATATTACACCATTCTATATTAATTTAAATTGTCTATACGTTGTATTAGCTAAATTTCTATCAATTTGTATAGTCACTCTAAAAGATATAAAATTACAATTAATAAGCGTCTAATAATTTACTACAAAATATAATCTTTAAAAATTTATATATACTCTTCAGATACTTACTTTAGAAAAGGTTTAATAATTTTTTTATACTTATGAAGACTCCGAATTAGAGAACTGTTTTGTAATTTTATGTAATTTGCTTTTTAAACTATGTTGCACTGTTAGTATGTTAGTTTGAGTTATAGAAAATTCGAGTTATAGCAATGGAAATTTAACTGTATTTATAGCTATAGACACTATATATACTATATACAGTTAAACTTCCATAATTGGAACTTCTATAACTCGAATTTTCTATAACTCAAACTAACATACTAACAGTGCAACATAGTTTAAAGAGCAAATTACATAAAATTACAAAACAGTTCTCTAATTCGAAGTCTTCATAAGTCGAACCTTTTCTTTGCAACATGGTACATCGAGTTATGGAAGTTTGACTGTATATATAAAAAAATTATTAAACCTTTTCTAAAGTAAGTATCTGAAGAGTATATATAAATTTATAAAGGTTATATTTTGTAGTAAATTATTAGACGCTTATTAATTGTAATTTTATATCTTTTAGAGTGACTATGCAAATTGATGGAAATTTAGCTAATACAACGTATTAGAGCAAATTGAATACAATTACAAAAAAAATTTCTTTAATTAGAAGTCTCCATAAATAGAACCTTTTCTTTGCAAAGTGATACTTCGAGTTATGGAAGTTTAACTGTATTTTCTTTATAATTATTTTATTCAATAATTGTTACTTATAATTGTTACTTAATTATGTTATAATTATATCTTAATTATTACCTAATAATTAATAGTGCAAAGGCTACCAGAGCTAGAAGTTTTTACAACAAACTATATAGTATATTTTTGATCAGTAAACAAAAATAATTAATTTAGCTATATCTGTTAGTTTTTCTTTTAGTAGACAAAACAGTCTTGCGGTTTTCAGTTAATAGAGTAAAATTTTGTAATGAGACATATATTTTATAATTTATTTTATGAAATGTAGAATTTAAAAAATGATAAATTCTTTTCGTAAAAACGTTAATTTTTAATTAAATATATTTCATTGGCAGACCATAATTATATTTCGGATATTGCCAAATATCCAATGTTAGTTTTTCTTTTAATAGACAAAACAGTCTTCCGGTTTTCAGTTAATAGAGTAAAACTTTGTAATGAGACATATAAGAAAATCGTTCAGTTGAAATCAACATATAGATGATAAGGGTTGATTTTATCTAGTACCCCTCAAGCAAAATAGTTGCAAAAAAAAAAAATCACATTGGATTTTATGTCAAAAATTATTTTTCAAAATATAGTTGAAATTTTGTAAGCAAAATATATATTAATTAAATAGCAACATATTTGTATAAAGGGTAATGAAACTTTGTTCAATAGATATAAAAGTCGTGATATAAAAAAAAATTAATTTTTTAATATAGTATATTTATTTACTTTATATACTTTGTATTAAATGATTATTTGCAATTTTATGAAAAATTAATTTTTGTCAAGTCCTTCAATTCATATTCATGAAAAATTACTCTGCAAAATAAGAAATAAATATCATACTTTATTTCAATTCCAATTACAAATTTGACAACTTCAATGTCAAAAAAAAAAAAAATTAAATAATAAATATTGAGATATCATTTTGGTAAGTGGTACTCCTAAAATTTACAATTTTTAAATTAACTTTTAAGTTTAATTGCTTTAAACAATTATATTGTTTTCTATAAATTGTTTATTTATGTACATTGTTAATATATGAAATAGAGTACTAAAAATTTAAATATTAAAAAATGTGAGATAAATTAGAATAGGCTATAGTTGAAGCATTATATATGTATACATGTAATTCTAAAGACTATTAAGCTATATGCGAAAATCGACAGGGTGCCCTACTTAGCATTATCTAGTCTCAGAGTAATCGCTTATCGCACAGGGCGGTACGCAGATCTTAGATAAGTCATTCAATAATCACGAAGCTTATGAGGAATACACAAATTAGTCAGTGAGGTGGGTGGGACTCTGCAGAAACCCCCTACCTATCAAAGAGTAAAAATGCCCAGATGCACTAACTCGGAAAAAGCTTAACAATAATAATTATAATATGAAAGGTGAGAAAAAATAGAAACTGATATGGGTTCTAAGAACGACCTGGTCTACGTATCGAAGTCACTTGTCGAGTTCGATAACTAACTGCTCTTCAACACTCAAGAGGAAATACACACAGATTTCTGCGGACTACCACAACCACAACAGCAACAGAAACTGATAGGGTGCGAAGATCAAGTACTGCTCAATTCTTTTATCAGCTTTCGATTAAGTAATTAATTCTATTAAACTCATCCATGAGGGTTGGTGAAAAAACTCTTGTTTTAACGATAAAAACCAAAACTTCATTAACTATTTATTCTACACAAATGAGTGAAAGTCTTTAAAGTGTTTTATTTTGATTTTAAAGTTGTCCAAGTATAAATAATAAAACAAAATGTGCTGTTTATTAAATTGATTTAAGTGTGTTTACTTAATTGTTTTGTTTTGTTTTCTTAATAACAAGTTATTGAGTAGTGAATGTAGATATTATATTTTTCTTATATTTAAAGCTATTATATATAATGTTCTTCATTGTGAAATACATATACACATATATAATTTTCGTTTTTAAGTTTTTAAAACGAAATATTTGACTACTTGAAATATAAATAGCTGACTTTTGTTAGATTTTCTATCATTGTAGTCTTTGGAAACTTATAGAGCGTGAAACATAAATCGAATTATATGACAAATACATACTATGGTATGGGTACTATTAACTTTTTAATTATAATGAAATGTGAAATGTTTCGATATGATTCAGTATTCAATTGTTTCGGTGGCTTCAATTGGAACTAGTGATATGTACGAATCATAATTTATTTTCTGTGTCTATATTTACCAGAATTTGTCAACTTTTTATTGATATTATTATACCCCGTAGAGAATACCTGCTAGAGAAGGACACAGCTAGTACCTAGTTGTTGCTGTTGTAACCCGCAGAAGGGATCTACTTGTGTCGTCCCTTTTGGGTGAGGCGAACGGCACTTAGTCGTCAAACAAGAAGAGTCGCTTCGGGCCGTAGACTCGGCCATTCTTGAAACTTTGAGTAAATAGTCAAAGGAATCAGTGACACTTGATGTTATGAAAAAGCGAGTAAAGCTGGCCATTTTAAAAGTAATAACATCGTCGTAAGGTGTTGTTTAAGCGTATTTGATTTTTGATATAAACTAATGCTTAGTTGGCTTAATATTTCATTTTTGTTTCTTATAGCATGACCCTCAATTACATAGGTGTTACAGAACAATATTAATATTTGTTGGTTAAATATTTTATTATTATTTTATTTTTCTTATTAATTTTTTTTCACACTTATTTATATTAATTAAATGCATTCTGTTTCTTTTTAAGTGAACCTTTTGTTCGTCAACATTTGGCCAAGGTCTACGGCGTTCTTGGTATTACAACTTTATTTACAGCTCTTGGTGTTTTGCTACAGATGAAGTCTTTGATTGATTTGGGAGTGGTGTCCGCTTTGGGATCACTTGGTCTTGTTTTGGGACTTCACTTCTACCAGGATAATGGTAAAAACTACAATACACGTTTGGCAATGCTTTTAGGATTTGGTTTTTGCTCTGGTCAGTCCATGGGACCCTTAATTGGTTATGTCATACAAATAAATCCAGCAATTTTGTTTACCGCATTTGTTGGCACTTTCATTATATTTGTATCACTGTCATTAGCTGCTTTATTAGCTGAACGTGGCAAATATTTGTTCCTTGGCGGATTATTGGTTAGTGTGCTCAATACCATGGCTGTACTGAGTCTATTTAATATGTTTTTCCGCTCTTACTTTGTGCAATTGGTAAGCTTTCAATTATATTAATTTAATAAATATTAAAATAATAAAAATAATTTTTTTAATTTATTTTAGGGTCAATTATATATTGGAGTTTTCGTTATGGCAGCTTTTATCCTCTTCGATACTCAAAGTATAATTGAAAAATGTCGTCGTGGTAACGTCGATGTTGTACAACATTCCCTCGATTTGTTCTTTGATGTATTAAGTTTGTTCCGTCGCATACTTATAATCTTGACACAAAAGGTAATTTTATTTTCATTTAAATTTCAGTTAAACTAAAATGTATAAGTATTATTAGGGTAAAATAAAAATTTTAAAATTCATTTTAATACTTATACATTTTTGCAGCTTAAACAACTTTTGTTAACCTAATAACAAATGCCTTTTATTTTGATACATTAAAAACGAAAGAACTGTGCCTCAAGTAAAATATAATAAAATGAATTTTAAAATCCAAGCCACTTTTGACGGTATTAAAAATATTTTAATATTTACATATTTTATTTTATAAATTTTTTTTTACTTTAAGTACAAACTAAAACTAAAAGACTAACATTTTCAATTATTTTTACCTCAATAATCTATCTGTTTGAACAACAAATATTTGTATTAATAAAGCGACAGATATATTTAGAGAATGTAAAAATTTATTTTATGAAATGTAGAATTTAAAAAATGATATATTCTTTTCGTAAAAACGTTAATTTTTAATTAAATATATTTCATTGGCAGACCATAAATATATTTCGGATATTGCCAAATATCCAACATCAGTGTTCTTTCTTTTATTGGTTGCATTTGTCCATAAAAATATAAATTTAGGCTGCAATTGCTACGTATTAAGGGTTTTCAACTACCAAAAATCACACCTCAGTGGAACTTTATCAGCTACTATATAGCTGCTTCCACCTACTGAAAAATAAAAAAAAATGCCACATATTGAACCCAGTCAATTTTAAAATGCAGAATCAGATGTCAACTGATGAGAGCTCAATTGTTATATGGTCAGTTCAAACAGTTCAGTTAATTAAAAATTAACTTTTGTAGTGAAATTTTTTCACTATTAATCACCTTTCTATTTGAAATAGATATTTTGTCATTGTACATAAAATTTAAATTATAATAATTTCATTTAAATGTGTAATATCGAATACTTTACTATGGTTGGTGTGTTTCGAATGTTGTAACTATTTATATACCTAGTCTATTTAAATATAATTGTATTTTTTCAGCCAATTTTCTATTGGTTTTAGTTTGTAAATTGTCTTTAGCTAATAATTTCTCTAAATATATTTAATTTTATTTAATATATATATTTTCTTGTATTTTAGGAGGAACGTAAAAATCGCCGCCGTAAAGATAACTAAACAAATTAATATTTGCAACTATACGGCTAGAAATATACAACCATAACCTGAAAGGATGTCTTTAAGCCGTACAAAAATGCATTGCTCTATTTCAAAAAAATTTTTTTGATTATTCACTAAGTTTATATTGATATTTTTATGATTTATATATGTAAATACTATATTTGATTGATAGTCATTAGAAATTTAAAATATTTTGGCAAAGGTGTAAGAATGTTCAAAATAATTTAATTCATTACCAAAATTTATAAAATATTTCTAATCAAGAAAGCAATTCACAAACGATTCAGTTAATAAATTCAAAATACATTAATATTATTAAAAAATAAAAATTAAAGCGTTTTATTTTATTTACATATACTAGTACATATATTAAATAGAAAGTATTAGCCATATAGTAATTTTACCGATAAAAATCATTAATTTCATCATCAGCATCATAGCTACTACAAGCGTAAACCGGATTTGAGTTTATTCAATTAGTCTTCATCAATCGCGCTTGCAAAACGATGTCATCCAATTGGATCACCCTAGATTCCGAGCTACTGATTTACGCCATCCTTCCAGCGCATGATTCTGGCTTACTGCCACATACCATAAAATCTGTCATAAACAGATCCTGTCTTACTGCCACATACAATCAAATCTGTCAAAAACAGTTTAGCTAACAGGCTTATTCAGCTAGATGAACCGCTTATCGGAATCTAATGAACTTTATTTATATGACGAATTGTTTCAGGAATCGTATGGGAGAAACAATTCTCTAAAAATAATATTTTCCCGAACGTGGCTGATAGGTCAAAGCTAAACATTTGTCTTGTATCCATCAATATGTATTGATAGGACTATATTATTATACAGTAGTAGATTTGATGCTATTGTAAGGTTCTTGAATTTAAAAACTGTAATAGGCTTTGTTGGATTTTAATAGCCGCTTACGTATTTCGTTTTGCATGTTATTGTCAGTTGCTATAATGGATCCAATGAAAAGAATTCTACCAATTCAAACTTGTACTACACTGTTTGACCAATTTTAAATTTTCCACCATGTACTTTCTTTGTTAATGTGAGTATAATTGTTTGTAATCGGCGGCACGAATAGTCGAAAGGATTCCTTTGTAACTGATCGTATATCCCGCATAATGGCGATACTCTTTTTTGTGAAAGTACCATAAACTCAAATTGCTTTTTCCAACCTATTTTGATTAGTACTACTATCCTGTTATTTTACTAGTCAATTAACATAGTCATATCAGTTTATTAGGAATCTTCTTATGGCTTTGTAATAGGCGCTCTACTCTGGCTATGCTGTAATAGGCGCTCTCAAAATCTAAAAAGATGATACAGTGAGATATTACAATGATACTCGTTCACCATCTGCCAAGGGTGAGACCTGAGTTATGGCTGTATTTCTGTCATAGAGAAATATATTAGAATTTTATAAGATCAAGTGTACTTCTGTCATAGAGCAATATATTAGAAACTTATAAGATCAAGTAAAAGTTTACTGTCAAATGGAGCTTAAGTTACCATCATTTAGAAGGGATTTCGTATGTGTTTTGTCTATAGCTTTTGCTAAAAGTTATTAATCGTTATATTTCTATTCTTATATCAATGTTACTGATAAGGATGGAGTAAAAATAACTACGAATATTTAGAGAAATATATTAGAATTTTATAAGATCAAGTGTACTTCTGTCATAGAGAAATTTATTAAAAACTTATAAGATCAAGTAAAAGTTTACTGTCAAATGGAGCTTAAGTTACCATCATTTAGAAGGGATTTCGTATGTGTTTTGTCTATAGTTTTTGCTAAAAGTTATTAATCGTTATATTTCTATTCTTATATCAATGTTACTGATAAGGATGGAGTAAAAATAATTACGAATATTTAGATATTACTCATCTATTAATAGTCAACTATGAGAACTGTACTCTTTACAATATTTATATGGCACTTACATACTGTTCTCTTATTGAAATATATTTTCGTCAATCTAAATATTTTTTATATTATTGCTTTTATTACAATTATAATTGCAAATACTAAATAAATACATTTATATATTGAAATTGTTATAATTTTTCACAAAATCTTCCCTTCGCTCCTTTTGTGTTTGTTTGAAAGTGTGTGCTGCGTATTAATTCAATTGTCATAAAGTCGTAACCTCATCAGCATTTGCATATCAAATAACATTTAATAAAGTTAAGTGCTATGTGTCTGTTATGCTTATTCTCCCCTCTCCATTAAAATGCTTTAAGTTATTATTTTTAGTAATGTGTAGAAAAGGTTTCCTTTTAGTCCTTCTCGATGAGTTAAACAGTTAAGTCAATTTAATTTGTTCCGTCAGCAATTTTGAATGGGAATGCAAAATGGCGCAGCGTCAAGTGCAATCTTTACTTCTTAATTTCGATCAAATATTTTTAATATGCAAAATTTTGGGTATATATCCACAAGATTGGCAGGCTTTCAAGCGTCAGCATGTTTTGCAGAAATCAACAGTTGGAGGTTGGATTGTGGCCGCCTCAATGGTTGCCGTTGTGGCTTGCTATAATTTATTGATATATTCATTTTCTGAAGAGGACCGCTTGTTGAAAGAGAATCAGAGTGAGTATCATAACTTTCGGACAAAATTATATTTGACGCTTATACAGATAGTCCACTATTGACATCGAACTTACATATATTATGGCAGCAGTGTATATATCTAAGTGTTTGAATAAATTTGCGTGAACCTTGTATTAAGTATTCCCAAATCCTTTGGTTAATTAAATGGAAATAAATATCAATACTCAGAATGTAATAGTGCATAACACACATTAATTGAAATGATTATAATAATCATAATTATAATTATAATTATAATAATTATAACAAATGATTATAATAAATGGTAATCCCGATTTAGTATTATTGTTTCAGTGGCATATATTAAATAAAACACTCATCCAAGGTATCACATACCTATATAGTTCACAGTTTACCATTTTATAATATGAATCGCTTATTTAAACAAATTTAAAATTGTGAAAATTAATTATAAAAGCACTTCGCTTGGTGGATATGTCAACATATACATTTTGGACACACTATCCACCTGTCTGTTTGATCTGAAGCCACTCTCTCAATATTTATTCTTACGAAACTGTGCACACCATACTTTTCGAGAGTGGATCATTTGTAGGAGTTACTAAAATCTGACCACTATAGCTACCATATAAACTGAATAATTGAATATGGTATAAGTTTTTTTCGTTTTTGGTAATGATATTCAAATGAAATTTGGCAGAGAATGTGCTTTTATCAATATTAGAGAATATACAAAATTTCATTCGTATCAGTTGAGATTTAGATATATCTGTCATATAACTGCAAATCAGACACAGGTTTGAGTACCGAAAACCTTTTTATTTTCTAAAGTAATGTACTGGAAATTTGGAACTTACACATAGTTTACAAAATGCAACTTCATTTGTTGGATTGATCAAAATCGGATCAATATATTTTGGAAATAAATAAATAAATAAACTAATTTAATTAAAAAAATTAAACTAAACCATGGGATATGAGATTTTTTTGCTTTCAATGAAGATAGTTAAATGAAATTTGGTACAGAGTGCACTTGTATTAATATAAGAGAATATACAAAATTTTATTCATATCGGTTCAGATTTAGATATAGCTATTTATAAATTTTGTATTCAAAAAGAAGTTTTTCTTCAAAAAATTTTTTAATTTTCAATGTATTTGTTTCTTATTAAGAATATATGTAGATATTAGTAATAAAAATTGAATATACGATATCGATTGTTTCAAATTTATATGTAGTTGTTTTATAAACTGATACTGCAAATTCAGCTTACTGTATATTATGTATACTGCCCTTCACACACTCCTCCAACTTTAACAGCTAACGAAATATAGACATAAAAAAAAATGATAGCGGCTCTTATTAGTATTATTATGTATTATAGTATATATATTTTAATGTATATTATTATATATTATAATATATATATATGCAATTATGTACTATATTATATATATATTATTATATAAATGAGACTTTGATGTAGATTCAAAAAGTGTGTTTAAGGGTATATAAGTTTTAGTAAAGCCAAAGCAAACAAATTATGTTACTTATATTCAAAAACTGAATGCATAGATCTTATGAAAGATATTGTACTTAACACATCACTCAATGATTCGTGTGACTAAGAAAAATAAATTTTTTCTGCCAAAATTAGATTTTACTCATCCTTCAAGGGCAATAAAATCATTCCAATGCTTCTCTAACTTCTTGATGCCGCGCTTGTAGAAGGATTTGACTTTTACCTCAAAATAGGCTTCTGTTTCAGCAATTACTTCTTCATTTGAGATGAATTTCTTACCGGCGAACATTTTTTTGAGATCAGCGAATAGCCAGTAATCGCTGAGGGCCAGATCTGGACTATACGGTGATGAGGAAGCAATGCGAAGTGTAATTCGTGCAATTTGCTATCGTTTTTATTGATTTGTAACATGGTGCATTGTCTTGGTGAAACAAATTTTTTTTTGCTATATGCGGTCGTTTTTTCACAATTTCTGCTTTTTAGTTACTATTGATGGTTTTTTCCTTTTCGAGATAGTCAATCAAAATTATACCATGTCTATCCCAAAATACTGAAGTCATAACCTTCCCAGCTGACTGTTGTGCCCTTGGACGCTTCAGACGTGATTCACTGGCTGCAGTTCACTCAGATGATGATCATTTTGATTCTGGAGTGAAGTGATGTATTCATAACATGTTTTTGATCGACTATGAGTAAACGTGGCACCCACTTTGAAAACAGTTTTCTCATGGTCAAATGTTCATGTACATATAATTGTAAACACACTGCAATTTATGATCAGAAATAACCAATTTCTGGACTTTTGATGTAATACAGTTACACTAACTCGTAAAAACCTCAACATAAAACTTACTGCTGTACTTCTCTCTCAGTGGAGTATAGGGTCTCAACGATTCCCCTAAATCTTACTCTGTTGCCTACTTCTCTCGTAATTTGATTTCAGGTGTACTTTAAGTATTTAAGCTCCTGGTCCACGCTTCTTCGCCATGTCTTAGCTGGGGCATCAGGCCGGTAGCTACCTTGTGGATTGCAACGTAGTACTTGTTGTATTATACATGATGCTGGTTTCCTAAGCGTGTGGCCAATCCACTTCCTTTTTTTCTTTTAAATTCAGTGGCAGCATGTAATTATTTCGTGCGTTCCCATAGATTGGTTAGGATATGTACTCCGTTCACTATATATTCAGTATTTTTCTTATGCATTTGTTTATGTATACTTGGATGCGCAATTAATTAGAAGCCGTGTTTCCGTAGAACGTAGAACAAGGTTGATTTGACGGTCGTTTTAAATATTCGAAGCTTAGTACGGGTACTTATTTGGTCAGACTTCCATACATTGTTTAACTGTCTGAATGCTGACTGGGCTTAACTTAGCCGAGCCGAGACGTCTTCTTCAGCACCACTTTTATCCGTGATGATGCTGCCCAAATATGCAAATGATTTTACGTGCTCAACTGCATTATTAGCAATTCTGATGGATGATGGATCCGGGATAGTTTAGCCGCTGCAGATTACTTTTGTTTTTCCATGGTTTATGTACAGGTCGGCATTGGCTGCACAGGAACTGAAATTGTAAATTTTGTTTTGTACCTCAGAACTTTCATGGCCAAGTTTGGTAAATGGTGTCCATTGTAATATTAATATATTTCAATATTTTAGAACAAGTTTCTCTTCAAAAAGATAATTAGAAATTGATATATGTATAATTATTTTCAAGGTACCTTAACTTTTGTCATTGGTTTGTTCTTAACATATATCGGTTTGGTAATGATGGCTACTGATCAATTAACTGCTATACGAAACCAAAATGATTTGAGTGATCTCTTTGAACGTATACGTCTAGTGGATGAGCGTTTATATAAGGAAAATATCATAGTGGATAATAGTCGAATTGGTATACGTATACGTGTTATGATTTGCTTTACAATAGCATGTGAGCTTGCTATAATGGCTTCTACTTACGCAATCTTAGTTGAATATGCAAATTGGATGTCGCTATTGTGGGTATTCTCTTGTATACCCACATTATATAACTCTTTGGATAAAATTTGGTTTGCTGTTACACTGTATGCATTAAAACTGCGTTTCGAAGCTATAAATATCGCATTGGAAGACTTAGTTGAAACACATGAGAAGTTTAAGTTATGGGTAGCGAATGGAGGCAGTCCAAGTGATATGATCGAAAATATTAGTGGAACTAATAATCAAATTATTGAATCGAATTCATATGAATATAATTTGGGATACTTATATAAAGAACTAAGCAATTTGGATGCGGGATCTTTTAAAGGATCGGCTAAAAATAAAGTTGCACCAAGTAAGTAAAATAATTATAATAACCAGTGTAGAAATTTATAAATAAAATTATAAAAAATATATAAATTTGTTGTAGTTGCTCATTCAATGAATTCCTTTGGGGAGGGCATAGAAACACCTTCGTTGAAGCAGAAGAATCCCATGATTAATATGGCTTATGAAAGCGAACTTAATAATATACCGAGAATCGAAGAAAAACTAAACAATTTCTGTCAGTTACATGATGAAATCTGCGAAATTGGAAAAACTCTTAATGAATTGTGGAGTTATCCGATTTTAGTCCTGATGGCCTATGGCTTTTTGATATTTACGGCTCAACTTTATTTTTTGTATTGTGCAACTCAGGAACAAGTTAAAAAAAACTACAATTTGTGGTATTATATTTTTTTATATTGAAATTAAATCCTTACAGGTTATACCTTCACTATTCCGATCAGCTAAGAACGCAATCATAACTGCATTGTTTCTTAGCTACACAGCTGGAAAATGTATTTATTTGATCTATTTAAGTTGGAAAACGTCATTGGAATCTAAACGAACCGGTATTTGCTTACATAAGTGTGGGGTTGTAGCTGATGATTGTGTACTATATGAAATAGTAAGTGTTAGTTTATAGGGTGTATAGATTATAGATTTATAATTGTGACCTTCAATTGTTTATATATAAATATTTTTATTAAAGGTCAATCATTTATCGTTGAAGCTTTTGAATCATTCAGTCAATTTTTCTGCTTGTGGATTCTTTACTTTGGATATGGAGACTCTCTATGCTGTAAGTATAACGTTTTATTGATTAAAAACTCAATAAAGCTTTGAATATTATATTCACAGAAGAATATTGAATACAAAAACTACTTAATAATTGAATTATTAAGAATATTAATATGAAAAATATTGTGATAAGAAGAGAAAAGTTCTAATATTAGTTTGCAACTAGAAGTGTTGAAACACTTCCTTCTCATCAAAGTTAAAGTATTCCAATGGGGAAGTATAAAGCAAATTGCTTAATATCTTTAGCACAGTTGAATAAGCATACATAGATGACCTATAGAACTTTTTAAAAATTTGTTAAAATTAACCTAGTTCTTATTATAAAGAACATATTTTCATTTCAAATAGTATTGTATTTACATTCTATATATAATTGACAATTGCGGGGTTCTTAATTAAAGCAGAAGATTGATAAAATACACATTAAAAATTGATTATAGTTTATTTTAAAACATATTAAGTAATGTTGTAAAGCTCTCTTCAATGAAAAACAAATTAAAAGTTTACTTCGAAGATCTTACCTGCCATCTATAGTTATGATCATTATATATTATATATATAGTCCAATACAATAATTGTGTAACTGGCAGATGATTGTTTCCATTGTTATTAAATGACCAGAAAAAAGACTGCAATTCATCATCAATGATAAGCTATTATAGTAAATTATATGTTTTGTAATACCCACACCTTTCTACATATATAATTGAATACATAAAATGTATTCCTTTTCTACCCTTAATATAGATTAAAAACGCTATACAATACTAAAAAGCAAAGGCCAACCCTGTAAGGGTATAATATATCACTAAAAATCATAAATAGATTTTCATTCTTTAGTGACACGTCTCACTTCACAAATATTTTGAGACATTCGAAGATAATATATTTAAAAAAAACGCATCTTTACTTATGATAATTGTGAGGATTGGAAAGATATCACAAGAGCAAATTTTAGTTAATTACTCTTGAATATATATAATAGCAGTGCTTTTCAAATCTTTACGATTTTTCATTACATTCAACATATGGGTATGAAGATCTAACAGTAATATAATGATCGGTCTTTGGAACTAATTTTGGATTCGGCTAATATAAATAAAGTTTTGATAGTATTTTTACCAGCTTCATATAGAAGCTGAGATACTTCTTGTAAAAAATCACTGTTGCTATTTAAGCAATTTTTCCCTTCATGCTACGCTGATGGATAGATGCAGCTCGTACATATACAGCTCTTTCTTCTAGTCTAGAAATTCTTCGATTTCTAGTTTTGTTTCACATATATAGATAGCCATAACGAAATCATTTTCAACTTTATTTACAAATGTTTATCATCACAGCAAAAAAGTCGTATACCTATTCTCAAGTTATACTCCTAGTGCTAAATAGTTACTAATGATGAATAATATTGTATATTCCTGGTCTATCGTTAGGTTCTTAACTTGTTCTACTATACGTATAGTTTAGGGACTTGATCTATGACTTTATTTTACACATACGGTTTTTTAACAAATTGAGTAAATTTAAAATTAGATATATTAAATAAATTTGATATATTACAATTGATTATCATTATCCACCATTAAGACGTCAATAAAAAAGTACGCCAAATATGCTTTACGCTTGCTGTGACCCCTAATTCTAGTAGAGCCTTGTGATGGCCTCAACAATATGAGCTTGTTTGTCTATTTATCTCTTTCAATTTTAACAATTTCTAAACTTAAAAGTATTATGAGCTTTATTTTGATTATTAGATTGTAATAAATTATATACAAATAATGTACAAAATATATATATTTTTTAGGTTTCCGGGGGCATAACAAGTTATCTTATAATTCTTATACAATTTAATTTGGCAGCACAACAAGCAAAAGATGCCATACGTACTTTTTCAAATTTTAACGAAACGGCTAACTTGATTGCATCGGGTTCAAATGAAAATACTACGGTTTTCATGGACTTTTTAACGACAACTATTATGTCAACCATATCTAACTAATTATAACCAATTTAGATGACTTTGTTACTAAGGAAAGACAGCATGTTAAAGCTGAATTGTTGTGAAGAATGATAAAATCTTTCTAAGCTCATTCTTAAATTAAAGATATTTTTTTGTAATCACAATTGAGAGTGTGATTGCTATTAAAGAAACTAATATATATTTATATTAATATATTTATTACTTAACAGAATTTATATTGAACTTAATTTTGTAACATTTATTTTAAAATATATGTATGTATTTTGTTTACAAGTAAATTATCAGTACGAGCACCTTTAATGTTAAATAAACTAATTTTACTGCACAATAACTTGACTGCTTTTGTTATTTTTCTTCATCAATAGTCGTTTCTTTTTCTACATACAATTGCCTAGCTTCCTTTAAAGCATTTAATAATTCCGTAAATATCTCACGTGCTCCATCGTAATCTAAGATTGCAACACAACTGACTGGAACCTTTTTGTATAGAGTGTAAGCCAGCTCACGACGCTTTAATGAAAACACATAAGGAACTTGTTGGCTCTGACATTGCATCTTAAGACTATTTATCATATCATCTAAGCCACCTTGAATAAAAAACAAATTTTAAATATTTTTGAAATAATAACCGATTAATTTTAGTATACTACAAAATTCCAATACAGTGGATTGTGTTTTAAAAATTGTTTAACAAAGCTTTGTATCTTTAAAAAAAAAAAAATTAGATAATATAAATTATATTACTTAGTACATAAACTAAATAAATAAATAAATAAATAATAAATAAATAACTAGTACATAAACGAGTTATTTAAATTAAAAATGAAAAAGCTGCATAATTTTCATTTATTTTTTATATATGTATTAAAATAAATAAAAATAAAACAAACGTATATAAGAATGCTTGCTCGAAACATAAATGAGGGTTATAGCGCAGTGAGTTAAATTGATCGAAAGCATTTAGTCTATTGCCCAACCCTAACTAATGTGAAGCTTTGGTTGTTATCATAATTATATTAAAATATGATAAATTTAGTACTTAGAAATATCTTTTAATAATGTTGTTATTATAGCCCACAAGGATCTGTGTAGTCCGTTTTGGGAGTACTGAACGGCACTTGATTGCGGAACTTCATGAGTGTCTACGGGCCGTAGACGCTCCCGTTTTTGGAACCATCACTAATATTCATTTATTAATATAATATATATAGATATGACAACAACAAAAAAGATATTCAAATGCCTTAATACTATATCTACTACAGTTTACTATATTAATATTTTAGATATTATTATGAAAAGGGAGTGCGACTTAAAAGATTTATTGCACTTCTTATTCGGATTAGACTGTTTCACCAAGTTCGATTTCTTTAATGAAACACATTATATGCCTATTTTTCTTAGTCTTGGATTCTTATGATCCATGAAACACCCTTCTAGATGTTTCTTCCCCTTGTGCAATAGTGCCGGGCACTCCCCAAGCAAATGGTATACAGTTTTTCCCTCTTCTCTACAGTATCTGCAGTCTGAGTTTGATTAAATTCCTAATTTCGTTAGGTGATGTATACTAATTTTTAAATTTCTAAGGAAATTTACAGGATTTACAGAATTTTTTGCATTTATATTTTTGGCACATATTTTTATTGAATTTTACCTTCTCCAGGAATTTGTTCACAATCCGGTGCTATAACAAGAAGTTTAACTTTATTTATGCGTATATAATTTTGCGCCTCCCGGAAACCGACAACAAATCTTCTGTGAGCTCTCGCCTTAATCTCATTTTGAGCAAATTTTTGTCTTTGGAATTTATTTAATTGCCTTAAAAGGTTATCAGTGAGTTTACCTAATTGTGGTGTTGTACAATTGTCGCAGTAGCTGAAAGATTAATGTATTACAATAAAGGATTTGTTTTTGCATTCGAATGTATATAAATATGAAATATAAATATTAAACTTTCTGTTTACCTACGGAAGCTTCGAGAATGAAGAGTTGATGTATTTGGTAAAGGTTTTGCTGGTACTGTAATTAATTGTGACACTGTATTATTTACAATACAAGTACATTTAATTTTTTCTTACGCAAATTTAGATTTTCAACACCTTCTATAAGTTCATCCAAATTTTCATTTTTTTTATCTTGTTGTTCAAGCAATTCCTTTCTTAATTTCCTTTGCAGCAATATGTATTTTTTTAAACGAGATATACTTTTTTTGGGCCCACCCTCTGGAACTTTTCCACGTTGTTTAAACGGAATATTATACTTACGTGTTGTCACTTTTCTAAATTTTAATTTCCTCTCAGCTCTTGATAGTTTTGGCGGCTTTAAGTAATGCAGCAAATTAAATTCACATCGTGTTTTAACGAACTTTGGATTTTTAATGCGTTTCTTGTTAGTCTTTTCATCTTGTTCAAGCAGTCTTTCGAATGTTTGTGCATCTATTAACTTAAGTTTATCGGTCTTTGTCTGATCCTTCATAATTGCTAAACTAAAATTTTTATAAGAGTTTTTAAAACGAGAAAACAACACTAAACATAAACAAAATAAAATCGTGAATAGAGGGTTGCCATTGTGAAGTAAAAATACTTAAAAATGTCAAAATAGTGACGTTACTGAACAAACTGGAGTTAATTGAGTATTCATTTAATAAATCAATTTTTTCATTTAATAAATTAATGAATAAATAAATAGAAGGCTTTGAAAAAATTAAATTTAAAATATATTATTGGTAACTTCGTATTTTGTACAGATTGTCGTGGCGTTTTTCATCCATGTGAAAAATGTTTTCATGTTCCGTGAGAAGCCGCAAGCACATTTTACAATTATCGGGCATTCGAAATAGTTGAGCTGAAAAAAAAACTATTTCAGTTGCATTAAAAAAGAAACCCTATTCAGTAGATGAAAGCGGTTGATACTTAGTTTATACTAGAAATTTTTTTGTAAAAACCAGTATGTACGGATAAATATTTAAATATTTACATTAGTATTATTAATGTATTGTACTTTCATTTGATTATTTATATTTCTTTCAAAAATCTTTATATTATTTAGTCACACAAACACAAGCACTTTATATGGCGTTTACACTGGCCAAAAATGGCTCATTTTGAATGAGCCGTTTGAAAGTGTTTACATTCATTGTAATTCATTTGTTGCCATTTCAAACTGCTGATTTTTCAACTTGCCTGTTGATTTGATTTTTGGCCTGTGCCAAAAAAATATTGCCTGAATGTTATATATACCTTCAAATCTTACAATATAAACTGAAAAAATATTTTTGACTTTGTTTAAGTACTTTTTTGGAAGTAGAAGTTCTAAAAAAAGGTGCATCATTTTCAAAGAAATGCAGCCAGCAAATATTTGTTTATCTGTTTTTGTAAATTATTAAAAAATAGCTTTCTCAAACTATCAAAATGCCATGAAAAGCTTTTATTTTGGGTATGTTCAATGTATTTCTTTGCATTTGGAACATATTTCGAACGTGATCTCATTCGCGCTTTAAATTTTGTATGCAAGAATGAGCCATTAGCTATATTAGTCATACAAAATCTTTACCAACTATATGTAGGGAAATGCGACATAAACTGGACTTATAAGATATGGCAATTATAGGTAAAAGTTTTAATAAACTTATTAAGAATAAAATTATAAATCAAAACAAATTTTAATTGAATTTATCATTTCTTATACATATTCTTTTTAAAAATTTAAAACAATGATGAAATAATGGATGAAAGTTTTATTTTTTTATTTTTTAATTAAAGAATTTTAACAGTAAAATATAAAAAATACGATGACGATTCGCATTGATTAACTTTTATGTTTTCTTGGCGCTTGTTCATTTCACGTTATAATGAACTCATTTATTCAGCTGATAGAACTTTCATAATCTTCACTTAATAATATATAACAGAAAAAAATTAAATATACATATATTTAATTGTTATTATATGATATTTTAAATCATATATAAACCTATTATATATCAATTAATAAAAACAAAAATTTTGTTAAACACTAACTCTCTCAGTGCCTTTGTTTACAGCTTAGCTGTTGTTTCTTTACATTTTACATATAAAACATATGATATATATTTCATACGAGTATTTTGGGAAATTTCCTTTGTGGAAAATTTATTTTTAAAAGTTGTATTCGACATTTATCGCTTTAAATAACCTGCTTTATAGATAATGAGTTCTATATGAAAGATTTATGTATGGTAAATCATTCTTATTAGTGGCTATAATCCAAATCGGTTTGTTTAAAGTAGTATTGTAAATAGCAGTAAATGAAAATAGTTAAAACGCTTTTATGCAACCCTGTTTAAGTGTATGACAAATAACAAAATTTTGTATAGTTTACCATCTTATGAATAATTACTTAGAAATATTAACTTTCATTCAAATTTATAATAATGTCAACACAAAATTTGTCAGATGCTGATTTATACGGTTTATTGGAAATTAACAGCGATGCTAACGAAGCAGATATAAGAAGAGCGTACCGTAAAAAAGCTTTAAAGTGCCATCCTGACAAGAATCCTGATAATCCAGAGGCATCAAAATTATTCCATGAGCTGTCTAAGGCGTTAAAGATTTTAACTGACGGTGCAGCCCGCACGGCTTATGATAAACTATTAAATGCTAAAAAGGCAGCAGAACTACGCAATCAATTATTAGACAGTAAACGTAAAAAATTTAAAGATGACTTAGAGCAAAGAGAACAGGATTTCAACAAAAAGTCGTCTGGGTTGGAAAAATTCACAGATAGTTTTGAAAAAGAGTGTATTCGCCTACGGCAGGAAGCTTCTAAAATTTTAGAGGAAGAACAAAAGCTTTTAAATGACAAATTAAAGCAATCTGCAAAAGGTTATAATAATGAAGAAGTGTGTGACTCAACTCAATGTCGCCTAAAAATTAAATGGAAATCAGGAAAAAAAGATGCTTCTAATGGCGGTTATAATAATGATGTATTGACTAGATTTTTAAAAAAATATGGTGACATAATCGCTATTGTTATGTCGAAAAAAAATGGAAGTGCAATGGTGGAGTTTAACACATTGGAAGCAGCACAAATGGCTTTATCTTATGAAAAGGGATTATTGGAAAACCCTTTAAAATTAGAATGGATATCACCGCCTTCAGCATTAAAAACAAATTCATGTACTGAATCCATTTACGATAATGAAGACTTGGTATTACGAAAATTACGACAGGCAGAAGAAAGGAAATTTCTTATACAGCAGATGCAAAAGGAAGACAGTACGAACGAGGTGCAATAAATTTTTTGCGATCAATATACAAATATTAATGTTATTAGTCTAATAATAGAGGTATAAGATATTATTTTTTTTCTCGCATTTTGTATGTCCAAATTTATTTCTACCAAGGTAACTCTGTATATTAATAGAAATTTTATTAAGCTTAAAAATTAATTTATATTATTCAATGTGAAATCAAATATAAGTTAAATCTGTTTCAAGTCAATATTCAGTTTAAATACTTAATGATTTTTGACATTAATATATGTGTAGTATTTTCTACAAAGTAATCCAGTTTTTCAATTTATTTACGAAGTTAAAGACCGATGCCAAAAGTCAATGGCAGCAGTTCATTCAGGTTGGTAACAAAAATGCTAAGATGTGTTTCAGTTAATTAGATTTTAACTTAATTTAGTAATTGGTTTCTCAACTGAAAACATTACTATTAATTACTACTTTTCAAAGATGCGTTTAAAATATGTTAAAATGTGGTCATGCATAATTTAGTTAGGAATTTTTTTAAATAGTTTTTAAACATTGTAATAAATATCGTAAAAAAAACTTTAGTTCACTTGAATGTTTAGACCTAATAATTAATAAAATTACTGACAAAATATATTTCAACAATTAATCACTATACGATATAACAGACATCTTCACTGGAACGACTGTTCTGTTCACAATTTTGCCAAACTATCAGGTTGACGTGATTAAGATACTAATTTTATTCTTAAATAAATAACAGTATTTATTTTGTACTTTATTCTATTTTGTTTAATGAAATAAAGCCAATAATAAATTATATATATAATATATATTCTGCGAAATAGATGTAAGTATTATTGAGAATATTTAAAATAAGTCAAATGTTTTTATTCTTTAAATTTCATTTATACAATTTTCATTTACCTTTATTTAATTTCGTTTTAGTGTGCATCAGATACTCCATCAAATGATGTTTTGTTATCTTCTACAACGCTCACCTATGCTGATATCAAATCGAAGCTCTTTGCAGGACATTATACCTTACAATTCAGTAAAAGAGGGACCAGTATGGTATGGAAAATGTTCGGTACAATAAAAGATGAAAATGGTGCCGAAATTCCTGACCTCGTAGCATGCAAAATATGTTACAGCGTTATGAGAAATCAAGCGAAATATACATCGAATTTAACAAAGCATAAGTGCTACAGAACTAGTAAAGAATATTTGGATAAGGCGAAGTGTGATGTTGATTATGACACGAAAAAAAAAGCATCTCGTATTGTTACAGCATGGGCTGTACATAATTGTCGATCATTCAAAATAATTGAGGATAATGGTCTTAAAAAATTTACTAAGTTTATGATATCAATTGGTGCACGTTACGGAGATAATATAGACCTCGATAAATTGCTGCCATCTCCCGTCATGATTTTTAAAAATATAAATAATCTGTATAATAACTGTTCGGAAAACATTAAAACTGAGCTCCATGAAATAAATGATTCGGGATATGCATTAACATCAGACATTTGCACCGACAATCATTTAAAGGTGACATATGTATCCATCACAATGCACTACATTAAAGAAAGCACTTTATTTAAAAGATTCATTGGATTGAAATCTACAGAACTCGAACACTGCACAAGTAAGTAATATGTGTAAATTTCAAATGATTTAAATTATAATTTTTATTTATGCTACTCTGGCCTTGTGACTGGGATGCAAATACAATTTTTTTATGTTTTAAACTTTTAATTTATTTGTTGATAAAATATAATGAAATATATTTTGTAGATGAACGAATACGAGAAAAAATTCAGGAAGCTTTGATGGAGTTAAATTGCGACCTCAACAATGCTATTAGTGTAACAAATAGGAAATCAAATATGATGGGCGTATTCAGCACATATGATCATATTTCATGCATTAACCACTTACTGCACGACGTTATAGAGAAATCGATTCAAGAAGTACCGGAATTAAAAGAAATGTGTGATAAATGTGCAGAGTTTGTTAAATATATCAAAAAATCAGGAGTACATTCTGAATTAGCAATCTCCTTGAAGAGATTTTCTCCGACGCGTTGGAACAGAGTATATTATCTCCTATATTCGATTGAAAACAACTGGACGGAAATTAAAAATATAGTACTAGAGAATAATCTGCTTCACGAAATTAATGAAATCACTATAAGTCTAATAACTGCTGTTTTAAAAGTACTCAAATTTTTTGAAGAAACGTCTAAACAACTGGAATCAGATATAAATCCCACATTGCATCTTGTGATACCACATGTATACCGATTAAAACGATTGTGTGTAGTAAGTAATGAAGATTGCCAAACCATTAAAGTTTGGAAAGAACATCTTAACTTATTACTTGAAACAACAGTGGTAAATAATATAACAATTTTTCACAAAATAGCGTTATTTTTGTATCCACCCACTAACAAACTTACCCAATTCAGCACTGAAGAGAAAAATAATATTAAAAACGAATGTAAGCGCATTATGGACTCATTCGTTAATAATACCTATACAAAGCCATCAATAGATCTTTCTGAACAGATACCTAACGAAACAATTGATTTGTTTAGTGCATTCATCGAAACACAAGAAGATTCAAACGTTAATGGAAAAATAAACAGTGAAATATACTCATATGAGAACATCAAAGGAGTGTTACCAAATGATTTTGATGTTCTTCAATGGTGGCATTTGAATAGATCACAGTATCCATTATTATACAAATTAAGTTGCAAGATATTTGCAACACCTGCAACTATCGCCGCGTCGGAGGCAGCCTTGTCACATGCTAGAAATTTAATAACTGAGAGTGGCTGCTCCAACTTCGCAACAGTTAACAAAACATTGTTTATACATTACAATATGGATGCAATTGAATTATTTAACTTGACAAACATTGAATAACTTATAAATAAAGCTTGTAAATATTTTAACTATGTGTATATTTTTTAATTTAATATAATTATTTAACGAATTTAAAAGTTCTGATGGGTGAATATCGTTTTAAGCATTAACTGAAGTAATTTAATATGTATACTTAAAATTATCTTATTTTCCCCAAAAATAAATAAATAATATTATTAAAATAAGTACAGACATAAGTCGTTTGTGGCCGCGTCTAGTAGCCTTCGTGAGCTAGCCGAGTCAGTAGCTTGCTGTCGCCGGTTGGTATTATCGAGTGTTTTCCATCAGTAGGCACCGAATCAATGACATCTTTCTAAACGAAGCGCATGACATGTGCGTTAATAAGTTACTGTCGTAGTGTGGCTTATACAACTCATCGTTTCATCTAATTCGATATTCGTTGCCAACGAGTAAGAGACGGTAGGTATTCCGACGAATTTTTCTCTCAAATGCTCGTAACGCCTTTTCACCGCTGTTGGCAGCGGGAGTTGTCTACTGTTCAGCACCATATAGCAGGATATGCCTGATAAGAGACTTGTAGAGCGTGATTTTTGTTTGTCGAGAGAGGACGTTATTTCGGGGTGCCCTACTTACCGCATAGTAACATCTGTTGGCAAAAGTGATTTTTTTATTAAATCAAAGCGGACTTTAATCAACGTTTGATTGTCATTGTCGATCGATGTCATTTTTAAAATTCGGAGGCATATCTGTATAATTATTCATACAAAATTAAATGGAATATTAATCTATATATTCTATTACATTATGCTTTTCTTATTTTATACAATTATTTTTCTCTGCTTTACAAAAGCAGATTTCAAGAGTCCCGTAAGAGACAGGTTTATTCCTTTATGTGCGAGCTCAGAATCTCTTTATCTTGTGATCTTTTCAATTTCGACATGGAAGTGATTATATGTAGGATGTTTTTATTATAATGGGACAATATTTTGTTAATATATCGAGCTTTTTGCTTGCGCTGAACGTATTGACATCATTGGGTGTAGTAAGCGTAATTTTACTGCTGTCTGCTCTTATAGTAAGGGAATCTGTGAAAATAGACTTGACGGTGAATGACAGCAACGCAGTATACTTTAACTACTAGAAGAAATATGAATCGCCTTTGTTGATGGCAAGTATAAAAAAGGAATTAGTATTTTTTGTTATAAAATTTATTTGCTATGCTAAACCTACATACCTAAATAAGTTGATAGGTCCTAAATCCTAAACGAAATAGAAAATATGTATTTAGTCACTTTTATCAGGCGACAGACGATGGCATTACTTGTTATCTCTCTGTTTAAGATCGACTGCAATTTGCAATTACGAAATATGCATTTCGTCTTTTACAGAATATGGTTAGACGAAAAGATGCTGAATAAGAGAATTATAAGATTAATCATCGCCTCGACAACGTATTTCTACATATTTCTATTTTAAAGAAAGAAACCTACCGATCGATATTCTTTATTTTTGAATAAGTAGCCTGATATTCAAAGTTATTTTAAGTATGATGTGTGAAAGCTTGAAGCCAAATGTTTATATCACTGCATTTTAGGGTAGTTTGTTCAACTTTTAATAAGACGTTTCCGTCAATTATTATTCGATAACACTTTTACAGTACAGTATCTGAATTTCTGAATCTATAAAACTATTAATATAACTAAAAAAGGCAAAACTTCAATAATTATACAATATTATCGAAATTTAGTTAAATTTAATTTTAAAAGTTTTATATTTCACACATCTAGTTTTCAAACATTATATAAAAAATGTTTTTATGTCAAATAATATTCAAATAAACTTTTGAATTCAATTATTTTGACATATAATGTATATATACTCACATTTTTATAATTTTTTTTAAATATGTTTTTTAATAACATCCGAAACTGTTAAATTTCTAGTACGTTTTAAAAATTCAAAAATGGCCGATGCAACGCCACCTAAAATATATGCACTCAACTTCAATATCAAAACCGACATCTCAGAGGAGATAGTTACAAAATTTTTTCAAGCTCAAGCTAATCTGCTTGGTCTGAAGGGTTACATTCAAAAGGAGGCGGAAAACAATTACAAAGGGGCGTTGGAAGGTGATTCAGTTATAATAGACAAATTTAATTTAGCGTTGGATGAGGCTGAGGAGTTTAAGAACCAAGACTTTGATTTTTCCTCGCAAACTAAAGAAATCCAAACCTTTACTATGGAATCTTTCGAAGTATTAAGTAAGATACTACAACTTTGTTAAAAGTTGATATCATTATTTTTAATCATCTTAAACTGTCCGTAGAAACATTATTTAAATTTATATATAATTATGTAATTTTTAATTTTTAAGATCAACAGTAGCAACCAAGCAGAAGTAAACAAATTTAATAGTTCGTCAAATTGTTGATAATTGGAAAAAGTGTATATATAGTACATATATACATTGGAATAATGTACCAATAGAAAGAATAAAACTGTTTCGTGTACAAAACAAATCGAAAGGTAAACAATAGGTAATCTCTCTATACTATGCCCTCATTTATAATAACCGAACCGTATTAACGTAATTTTATATGGTTTCTATATAAAAATTGACACTTATTGCTATACATTTAACAAGTTATTTGCGATATTGTAAACGTATTGTGAAGTAATTTAAATATAACAATAAATATTATTGTGCATATTTTTTTATGTAATATTTTTTCTATAAATATTATATAATATAAATTAATAATTAATTATTAATAATAATATTATTAATTTAGTATTGTCTGAATGGAATATCTGGAGCTGCACAATCTCTTCAGTTTTTATCTAATAGTACCACAATAAGTACGTTTTTGTGGTTGCCCTATTTTCAAGATGTTTAGAACAATATTTTTGAACTACATTTTTTTATATACGGAATACCAATTATTATGTTGAGGCTAGTTGAGATAGTGCACTACACAATTAAAACCTATGTTTTTGTTGATCTATTTAAAAAAAAGAATCTAAGGGCCATGTTATGCAGAATGTCTCGGGCACGGCAAAATTCGCTCTTTCGGGTTATGCCGAAAATGAAAGTTATGCAGTGTCACATCAGTATTGCCCATTTTGTATTTTTACTACTTTTTGGTACTTCTTGGTAGTGCCTCTTAAATTTAAAAGGAAATTTAGATATGCTCACTTTCAATTTGCAACTAAAAATAACTAGCAAGAAAAAACTCATAGAGGCTGTTATAATATTAATTTATTATTATATTATCTTATAATAATTGTTAACAGTATTTAACGGTACTTACGCGTTTCTTTCTTCTTCTTCTAGTTCTTGAGTTAGTGCTATTACGTACTTTTACTCTATAATGGCTGGGCGCTTATCACTACCCCACACTAGGCTTTAACTAAGCTAAGAAGTCATATCATTTATTTGTTTTTTACTTGATGACGGACCTTAAATCAGCATATCTTCCTGAGAATCCAGAAGTAGACTTGAGGATTGTTAGGGCGGGGTTAAGTAGCGTATCAACTTTAGTGAATAATTTTAGAGCTCTGTCTCTGATATATTTTTTCACTGTGTCAATCCTAAGATCTCTATGTATGCCTGTTTATCTAATATACTATGGAATCTTAAACAGTCTTCTTAAAGCCAGGTTTTGAGCTATCTGAATAACATGGCCCTAATACCTGCATAACATGGCCCTTAGCGATCGATCTTCTTAATATTTGAATAAGGAGCTTAATATTCAAAGTTATTTTAAGTATGATGTGTGAAAGCTTGAAGCCAAATGCTTATATCACTGCATCTTTAGGGTAGATTGTTCAACTTTTAATCAGACGTTTCCGTCAATTATTATTCGATAACACTTTTACAGTACAGTATCTGAATTTCTGATACAAATATTGGGATCTATACAACTTGAAATCTATTTAGTTATATTAATGTAACTAAAAAAAATTATACAATATTATCGAAATTTAGTTAAATTTAATTTTAAAAGTTTTATATTTCACACATCTAGTTTTCAAACATTATATAAAAAATGTTTTTATGTCAAATAATATTCAAATAAACTTTTAAATTCAATTATTTTGACATATAATGAATATACACTCACATTTTTATGTTTTTTTTAAATATGTTTTTTAATAAAATCCGAAACCGTTAAATTTTTAGTACGTTTTGAAAATTCAAAAATGGCCGACGGAACGCCACCTAAAAAATATGGCATCGACTTCCATATCAAAACCGACATCCCAGAGGAAATAGTTACAAAATTTTTTCAAGCGCAAGCTTATTTGCTTGGCCTGAAGGGTTACATACAAAAGGAAGCGGAAAAGAATTACAAAGGGGCGTTGGAAGGTGATTCTGTTATAATAGACAAATTCAAATTAGTTTTGGAAAAGGCTGAACAGTTTAAGAACCAAGCCTTTGATTTTTCCTGCTCAGCAGCTAAAGAAATCCAATCTTTTACTAAGGAATCTTTCGAAGTATTAAGTAAGATACTATATCTTTGTTAAAAGTTGATACCATTATTATTAATCATTTTAAACTCTCCGTAGAAATATTAATTAAATTTATACCTATATAATTATGCAATTTTTAATCTTTAAGATAAAAAGTAGCGACCAAGCAAAAGTAAACAAACTTAATAGTTCGTCAAATTGTTGATAATTGGATAAAGTGTATATATAGTACATATATACGTTGAAATAATGTACCAATAGAAAGAATAAGACTGTTTCGTTTACAAAACAAATTCAAAGGTAAGCAATAGGTAATCTTAATATACTATGCTATACTATCATTTATAATTACCATATTAACATTATATATAAATATTAAATAACATAAATTAATAATTAATTATTAATATTAATATTATTAATTTAGTAATGTGTGAATGTAATAATATGGTTTCTTTTATTTTTATTTGAACATTTGAAAACATTTCAATTTACGCGGCAAACCCAAAGTAAGCGTAATAAATCGAAATATTGTAATATACAGCTGCTTCTTGAAAAATTTAAGTTAAGTCGTCAGCTTTTGTGATTTGAAGCTATTGAGTGCGTTTATATCTTAAGTAATGCATAAGATGACATGTGCGCAGTGTCACAATTTGTGTTAATCATAGAAATTTGAAACTTTTTACCAATAAATTAACTACTAAAAATTTTCCTGTCATGATTTATATCGATTTTTTAAAAAAATTATTTATATAATAGCGCAGAGATGAACTTACTTTTTTTTGTAACTATTTAAATGCTGGTACAAAATGATTGTTTGATTAAGGAAAAAATATTTTAAGGTTCTTCAAAATCGTTACTTTGTATAATTAACATTTATTTTAAATTAAGAATGTAGTCATTTTATTTCATAGTTGCATAGGTTCCCGTGACAAAAACAATTAAATTTTTAATCAAACAATTTCCCCTATTAATTTTTAATTTGATTTCAACGTTAGTTATGATTGTAGTGACTATTTTACTGAATAGAAACTATTGTTTTTATCAGAGAGGTTTTGAAGAGGAACCTCTTGCAATTTCAACAAATTATTTACAAGTAATTTAATATAAGATATAATAATTCTAATACCACTGATATGACTATTTGGCTATATTGGAAACAACTGTATGGTCCGCCAAAATTCAATTAATTAAAAATAAATAGAAATTTTATTGTTACAATTCACTACTTTTCGAAACCTCTCTATTAAAAACAATTAAATTTATAAAATAAGTTTAATAAATTAAAGTTTACTCTTTGGTTTACACATAAAACTAAAGAAATAAATTTATTATAGTTGTCTAGACAATAAAATGGAATTTTGTATTTGATATTAAATATTAATACAGTATTGGTACACATATAGGACTAAATTTCACATTTATAACAGACTTAAAGTTTAACGCTCTGGTGTATGCTCAGACTTATATCTTTGAACACTTTTAGTCGTTCAAATATTAGTTTTCTTTCGTTTTCAAATATTTGCCAAAATTTCAAATGATTTCCAATATGCCTCATAACTCGACTTCTTGCAAACTCCAAACATTTATTTAATCGAGTTGGTTGAATAATTCGCTGACAATTACTCATGATTAATTTTAATTGATCTATAGGTCCTAATTGTGCCAAAATAAATCCATATACATTCTTTACATCTGCTTTCAGGTAAGATGGAAATACTCTGGATTCACTTGTTTTTCCACGTGGGAATACAATAAGAGTCGGTGAAGTGAACATAACGAACTCCCAAGGTAAATGATTCGATTTTGTATTGAGACGTATAAATTTGACAGTGCTGTCCACCATAGCCGATAATTGGATAAGAGTGTGTGATATTATCGCTGAAAGCGCACAACTTGGTGAGTAGAGTAGCACAACTAAAGTGGTGTTGTGTTGTTGTATAAAATTCAAAAACATTTGACGATTGTAGTTTTGTAAATAGACCGTGTTTAGAGCTGGGGGTAGTGGTTGCACTACGTTCGCAGTTCTATAGTAAGGACTCAAGTTGTTTTCATAATAGTTTTTCATAAATCTAATTAGTGCTTCAAATTTAAAATTCTCTTGCATGAGAAAAACGCGCTCCTTGCTGACTTCAATTATTATAGACGTTGCAGTATTTGATTTTATATTTGGTATGCCGTGCAAATCGAAAAAACTCTCGTATTCTTCTGCTTCCAAAATCATTACTGATAATGTACGATTTGTTCGCTGTACTGAAGATTTCTGCCATAATTTATTGCTGGCTTTTTTTATAAATTTTGAAACAGCAGTTTTTATCTCGATTGTGTTTACATCTGGATGTGTTAAGCATTTGTATTGAGTATATAAATTTAGTAATTTATCTGTAGAAGATTCGTCATATGTTTTGTGTGCAGCAGGTGAAAACATATTAAGTCTATTTCTAAGGAATTCATTGATTTCGTAGTAATATATTAGTTGGTATGCGTTTAGTTGTTCTAGATTAGCACAGTGACCAGGTGATCTAAGACTTCTTTGGATTATTTCATACATTTGTCGTTTTACAATAGCTGTGCTTGGATTATTATTATTTTGTTTCTTGTGAAAATCTTTGCAATTTTGATAATGCCTATTAACTTTATTAATATTATGCATCTCCTTATCCATAATGGTATAAAAGTGTTTGTTAAATGGTAATTTGTTAACGAAAATTGCTAAAACGGTTTCACTTTTTATTTGGGTACCTAATGCCGTAATACTGGCGTAACCATAAGAAATCGTTAATTTAGGCTTAATATCTTTTTGTAGCCAAGTAAGTATCTTATATGGTTTCCATTTTGTTGTTTTATTAAACAACTCAAGTCTATTATTTCTAACTGCCATAATTAAAGGCATTTTCGTGTCCATGCCACTAATTACATCGTATGCTGTGTCACCAAGCACTACCGCAAATCGATAAACACGTTGAGGATCTATTTCAAGCCATTTTATGCTTGCCGTAAGGAAGTGTTGAAATTTAACCACATTTGCATTTGGAAACAAACCCAATATGACTGCATCTGTTTTAAGAGCAAGCTCTTCTAGTTCGTCCTTAGAATGTACCCGTTCAATTGGTTTAATGAGTGTATTTAAAAAATTCGTAAGAGAAGCAAAATCCCATTTTCCATTATATGGAAATACAGTGTTCTGGCCATAGTAGACTATAAGTGTTGGCCATTGCTTTGGTTCGCCCCAACCTGTATGGGGTTTACTGCAATTGCATGATAAATGCCAACAATCTATGGCTGCAAAATAAATGTGATTATCATAATATTTTGTTAATTCTTCATATGTTGAGATTGTTGAACGGCTATCATCACTCCATGACACGTAGTACAGAACAAGTGCCACTTCATAACTTTCTGCATTATCTGTTATATCTTGTACTTCTATGCCCGGGCATTGATCAATATAAAAATTTGTAGTATTAATTGAAAGTAAATTGTAATTTGCAGTAAATTGAAAGACATTTGTTATTATTATTAAAAAATAAATAATATCTATATACCGGTTTAACATTTCGAATATTTACAAAATTTGTTATTATATTTGAAACAGCTGATTGCACGCTCGTGATGTGAAAGCTAAACATTATACTTCATGGGTATTTGGTACCATAGTACTCGTTATTTGTTTTAGATTTAGATATTATCGAAAAACAACATAAAACAGATAAAAGTTTCAATTTAACAAAACACTGCTATATAAATGTTTTCAATATTCACTATAAAATTGAAAAAACCTGGAAGCTGGAAATAATTAAAGAAATAAGTGTTGGCACTTTTTCTTAAAAAATTAATTTAAAAGCAATATAAGAAAAATAAAAGTGTCAGGGAATTAGTGATAACTAACATATATATATGTTCTACCAAAAACTTTTCAGAAAACGATTTTAATACTAAAAAAAAAGCTTATTGTTGCAAGTTAAAAAAATTTCAGTTTTGTAGAAAATTGTTTTTAACTGTAACTAACGACATTCTCTTCTTTGCGTTAGGGTTTCCTTAATTCAATATTTGAAAACTTTTCCTGATTTTTTCGTTTGTTCCTCTCGAAATTTGTTGAAGCATCGTAGAAGTGAATATCTGATCGAATATAGCGGACTAAATGAGACCTCTAGTCATTCGAATTAGAACAACAATAGTGCCATGAAACACATTGTGAGCACAAGTGCAACCTACTTGATTAGGTACAGTTTTGAAGATGCTCCACAACCACAGACGTCGCTTTGATATTCATCACATAATTTACTTCGAATAATACACCTTATTCATCAAACGATTCAATGCCAAAACCAAGTTCCTTTTTCTCTTCACCAAGGTCGGTCAGTAATTTATCAACATGTAAGGCCTACATAAAATATATCGCCATTATTCTTTTATAAGCCTGAAAACACACATACATATGTTAATAATGTATTTTATATTACTAGTTTTTCAAAATTTTACATCAGTTTAAGTACATATTTATAATGTGCCGCTAAGAAATATTCTTTTTTTGAAACGCACAATGCAACCCTAAAGCTAAGCTTAAACTTCATTCATGCATCTTTTTCACATTACCAAAATATTTGGGCATTTTTAATTAGATTTACATTATTTAATTTTACATTAATTTAAGTACACATTTATAAATGTGCCGCTGAGAAATATTTTTCTTTTGAAGCGCACAATACAACCCTGAAGCTTAGGTTAAACTTCTTTCATGCATCTTTTTCACATTACCAAAATGTTTGGGCATTTTTTATTAGATTTTACATTATTTAATTTTACATTAATTTAAGTACACATTTATAAATGTGCCGCTGAGAAATATTCTTCTTTTGAAGCGCACAATACAACCCTGAAGCTAAGCTTAACTTCATTCATGCATCTTTTTCACACTACTACAATTTTTTGGTCGTTGCTTAGTTATTATTGTTGTGCGTCTACGTCGTGTTTTGAGCCACCTTTTTGGGCGTTGTTTTTTTTCAATTAATTTTTTTATGATTTTAAAAATAAAATTGACTTACAATAACCGAATTGTTAAGCTAAATTATTTCTTCAAATATATCACAATTATCTGTGCAAATGGTAAGTAGGCAATAAAAGAAATTACTATGTAAACTTAACAAGACAACGCCACACCCAAAATTTGTTTCAATCGGGCTTTTTGATGTAATAAAATAGTATTGAAATTTAATTTTTTTTTATAGCATTGTATTGTTTACCTTATATGTTTACATCAATGTGTTACTACAGAGGAAAAAAATCAACAAAAATCTAGTTAGAAGCTTAGGCACTTGTTTGATTTGCTTCAAAATTTTCTGAAGTTTGTCGTTAAAGCGATACAGTCACAGTCGCCATTAATCCTGAAAAACTTGCGCTTGTGGTGGGACTATGTCAACAATCGACGACGAACGTAACGCATACAAAAACAATCCATATTTTACTGGACATATTTACGGAAATTTTTCTCCATTTTATGTGACTATTGCTGTTTGTACGGTAATACTTGGTTCAATCATAATATTAAACATAATACTGGGCTGCTGTTCAAAACATCGTAAATACTGGCAAGATAGACATACAGGTTTAAAACATTTTATATAAAAACATAAATAAATGTATTTATAAATGCATGTATATATTTTAGGCAACCGTTGGCTAGTGTCTATTTGGTCGGCTACACCACATTTACAACCACCATTGGATTTAACTGAGCTAAAAGACGCTTCCTATTTCCAAAGCTTACATGTAAGTATTTATTTTACTAATTTATTTTATTAATTCATTAGTTTGTAAATATTGTTCAACATATTCAAAGTTTTAAATAAATTATTAATTTTTGTGTATATTCAATGCTTAAAATTATGATGAATCATAGTTGTAATTATATTAATTATAATTAGTTAAACTTAAGTCAAGATTTTTTAGACTTAAAGATTTTGTTTAAATTATTTAACGCAGTTTCATGTGCCGCTTAGCTTGTTCTTTCAATAAATGCTCTTAATTGTAAAAGCATATATACGTGCTCATAAAAGGTGTAAATTTTGACATTTGACAAATTACTGAGTAACACTGTTTTGAGTAATGTCACAAGACCCCGAAAGAGATTTAACGAAATGACTAAAGTTTCACCAAAATTTCACTTAAATTTTTTACTCTTAAATTTTAAATATACATTGAAAACAACAAAAAATTTATATATTTTATTTGAGTAATAATAAAAAATAGAGTCCTAAAGACCTCTGGGTCTATGTCCCAGACCTGCTTGACCACTTGTTCTTTGCCTTTCTCAAAAGCGACTGCACAAACAGATCTGTACTGATTTCAAGACAGATTGTCTTTGACTTAAACAACAAAAAATTAGAAAAAGTTTTCTTGGTTTAACATTAACATTAACCGATATATATGGCGTCACATAAAACTGCCACCCAATAAAGTAATATTTTATTCAAAAAATAGTTTTATAGGTTATGACACATATACAGTACCAAAAACAGTTCCTGCAAATGAATTTTCTAACTGCAGAATTTATGCAGTGTGGCCTTAATCAAAAATTATTTCACCGACAATAAAAAGCTCAGTTTATACAGGTACAATGTATTAAAAACATTCTGAAATTATAATTATTTAATAGAATTTTTCATCGTCATCCCTAAGTAGTAAATTAACTACTGCTTATTTCGATAACAACAACACGTTTAAAGACTTCACTGCTTTTATATTTTATTAGATCAGGAGTGACATTTGTTTATGTAGTTGACATCGACCTTCCAGATGTGCAACAAATGTATATGAATGGATTTCCTGTTTCTATTAGAAGACGAGGATTTTACACTTCTCAAGTTTTTTTAAGTTCAAATTCCGTAAAATTTCAAAGGATGTCAGAGTATACCGTATGCAGATCTTTGCACCATTTTTACTACAGTCCAGGAACCCGCACACAAGAGACGTAGGCTCCACCCTTCTCAATTTTTTTTTATATTCAAACTCACTGACATTGCACAGAGTATCAGAGAATAACTTATGCTAAAAATCACACGATTTTTACCACAGGCAGGGCTCCGTCACATTGTACAACATAATTAATACATACATTCACAAGTCACTTAATAATTTAGATATAAAAACCTTTGTCTCTCCTTAGTTGTTATTGTTATTGTAACCCACTGGGACCTGTAAGCAGATAACATGAAAGGATATGCAAGACGATTACATGGGCGGGGAAGTAGATGGGTAGTGGTTGAGGGGGGAATGAGGATGAGAGATGCATTAGATGGGTGGGATTTAATTGAACATTAATCTGGGTTCACACAGAGAAACCAGGTCACTTCAATGGGGTGTCTATCTTCAGTCACTCTTTATTTCCTGAAATAAAGATGTAGCCATGATTTCAGGATTACTACTAAACTCCAAACATAGAATCCTAACGCTAAGTTGTTGGAATTTACCAAATGCGAACGATGAAACAAAAACTATTGTAATAAGAAACAGAAGAAGTTTAGCGAGGAACACCGTCGAATAAAGGAAAATAGAAAAAACAATCAATCCAACTCTGGGTTATTAAGTTGAATGGCGATAATGAACATGTAGTATTACCCTATATAATTATATTTTAATACAAAAAATAAAAAATTACATAGATCCCATATTATATATTTTAATTTATTTCTTCATTGTCTTCTAAAAGTTCGATTTAATATTTAATTATATGTTTTTAAAATCTTTTCAGCCAACAACACATATATTCCACGAGGACGTTGAATCACAAGTTGTACCAGTACATCAACCTCATACCCATCGGCCACAACGCCCGGAAGGACGTAGTCTACATCATCAGCGGCAACAAGAAGAATATCTTGAATTGCAAAAACGCGAAAGCGATATTTAAACTAAATTAATATGGCGTTCATATTATTGTATCCAGCTGTCGCTGTACTTGCCTTGTTCATTGTTGGTGTCATCATAATTATATTACGTTTTGGACCAAGGCTTTGTGGTCTACGGCATCATGCGTTGCCAGATAATAATGAATGGCGCCAGCGAGGATATGCACAAGAGATCAGCTATGCATAAATGCAAGGGACCACGTTTATCATAAATTTATTACATTATCTAAAGAAATTCATAGTTATTATATTTTTTATATACAAATAATATAAAGCAATAGCATATTTTTTTCACTTTTATGTTGGTACAGTACAAAATATATTTTATTATTTATTTATCACCACTTATGTGCCTTCCCACCAGGGTCCATTAAGATATTTTATCTATTAGTATTTTAAAAAGCAGTAATTAAGGTCATCCATTCCGTCCGAAATCGAATATTTTTTTATAGAAATTAAGGCAACGAATTCTAATCTTGTACTAACTTTTTTAAAAATTATTAAATAAATTTACATATCAATTTTACAATTTACTAACGAAACTCAATTATCTTTAAAGATAAATGTATTTTTTTATATTAAAAATTTTTAATAAATTTTAATAATATTTTAAATATGTTTAAAATTATTTTTATATCACATGTCATCGGTTTAAATATGTAAGTTATTAGATAATAACATTTTGTTATAGATCTATATTCTGTTCGGTATTTTAAGATTTGTCGTTCGTTATTTTATTGCTTAAATCCATCATTTAGTGAAGGGCTTGAATTCAAACTGATTGTCCTATACGAAATGAGTTTAGCTTATCAAGTTACTATCAAGTTAGCTTAGGTTATTTTTTAGTATTGAAATGAACATTCGCTCTTGAAATGATTGGAAAAATTATTTATTAAATAATTAAAACAGCTTCGAATCGAAAACACCAAAGTTTAATTAAGATAGAATGGAACTGTTACATATTTTAAAACGAATTAATATATTTTCTTTGAGCTCTGCAATAAATGTACATCCTTCGTTCCTATTCTCGCAAGCATTAGAATTATCTTCCAGATATTGATGAGTTAATAAAAATAATAAACATTAATCTTGTTAATAGCCGATAATAGATTAACCCTTAGAAAACAATCCAGTGTGTTACAATCATTTAAATTATCTTCTAGATTGCGTTCTTAAATTAATAAAAATAATTAATATAAATTTTTTAATGCCGATTTATAATAATTCTTCACAAAGCAATCTAGTATGTCGACGCTTTTTCAACTATTTTCCAGATTATGCGAAAATAACTATTTTACTTTAATAGAAACTAAGAAACTTTCGAAATCTCACTAAAAAAAAAATTAATATTTACTTTATTTCTGTCGACTAAAGATAAATACACAAAAGAAATCCAGCGTGTCTAGATAATTAAAATTATCTGCCAAATTGTTTTCTTGAGTTAATAAACATATATTTATTATATCAATATTTATTTTATTAATTAATTATTATTAAAATAATAAATAAATTATTGCTTGCATTAATGGTTTCGTCTAATAGTCTCTGAAGAAATATACGTTTAGAATATATTGGGTCCTTCTATGGCCGTGTCTCGCACATGAGTAAATTGAGGGATATAGTAAATTATGTCGGTATGGCAGCGAATGTTGATATTTACCAGAATTTCGAGTAGGGTAAATTAAATAAAAATTAGGTGTTATCATTGCAAAAATTTTATAACATGTTTAATAAATAAATAAATAAATTTGAAAACTTTTAATCAAATCCCTAGGAAACATTTCAATTTACTCGAACTCGCACACGGCTTATATGTACACGGCTTATATATATTAGAAAATAACAAGAAAATAATGTATGAAAAATTTAAAAATAATTTTTTTTTTTTTGAAATTTTATTATTTTTTTAATGTTTTTACTTTTTTAGTTATATGCCTTAATATTGTTTAAAATTAAATATAAGTCTTACTTTCAAGTATAATAATTTAAGATTACTTAACTTTCTTCCGATTAAAAGCATGGTATTGGTAAAATTGCTTTAAAACTCTAAAACATAAAGGATTTCGTGTCAAATAGCAACTCTGGACTAAAAAAATTAACAATTTTTTTGGGTTTACATAAAAATTACACATATATCTAAATCAAAAATAAAAATATAGAGCAGATTCGAATAATTTTCTTGAAATTATTTTTAAAAATTTTGTTTGTTTTTAATCTGGTCCTTAAAGCTAGATTTTCTAGTTAGAGCTATAGGCTGTTTTTTTTTTATAAATAAATTTTTAATTAATTTTAATTTTTAATAATATCTGTACATTACAAACTATACATATATAAAAGTGCATACATAAGTAAAAACATAAAATTTAAGATTGCGAACATTTTTAGGGATTTTACATTGACACGAGCCTTTTTATTTTGTTTTTATAAAAAAAGTTAATCATTTTAAATTTATTAAAATAATAAAAAAATTACTTTTTATTTAATAGACATTATTAATAAATGGAAATTTTAAGTTACTTTGCAAGTTTTGAGCTTTTTCACAGCACAGCCCTTTAGGACCTACGATTAAAAACAAAATTTATCATCAAAATGCATATAAAAACAAATAACAAAAAAAAAAACATTTGTTAAATATAAAATAGTAAAAAGTATGAGATTTGTTTGTGTGTATTGTTTTTGTATAAAAATATGACAAAATAAACTGAGTTCATTTAGTTAAAATAATTTGTCTAATTTTGTAAGATTTTTACAGTTTTATACTTTTAGTTTTTCCTTGTATCATTTCATTTTTTTTTACTATTATATATTTTCGCTGCTCTGTATTTTTTCCGCTTTTTTTGTTTTAATTTTTAATTTGTTACAATTTTTGCGTTTTAAGTTGCATAAATAATCCTTTGTAAAAATATAATTTTGTTTCCATTTTTGTATAACAATTTTTCTTTTTTTTATATCTTTTGGAGAGATTGTGTTTTACAATTTTTTTATTTTTTATGGGTTTTTGTTATTTTTCGTGTTTTTTTCAGCATCAAAAATTTTATTATTAAAAATAATTTCTTTTCTAGGTTTTTAGAAGATGTGTATTGTTTGTGATTTTCTTTATTTTATTTTATTTTATTTTATTTTTTATGAGAGATGGGAGCAATAAAGTAAACTGAGCAAAACAATTTTCGCCCAATATCCATATAATTTTTAAATGTCTTAGGTGGATGCAGTATTTAATTTTCCAATCAAAATACAGATACTTTTACGTAGCTGCATTTGCTAATAACTCTGAAAATGCATTCTCAAGACAATTTTTGAGTTCAGCATACGTAACGATCAGAACAGACTGCTCATCTCGAGACATCAGTTGCACCTAAAAAAAAAATAAGAAAAAAAAGTTATAAATTACATTTATAAAATACATTTTTGTTATATTTTATTCAAATGTATCTGGAACTCGAGTCTTTCTATTTGATATCAAAATTTTATCAATCTTATATACAGATTCATATGTAAAATGTCAAGGTGAACATCCTAAAATGCTTTATCCAAACTTAGTATGCTTCATACAATTCACACTATTGATTTGCCAACTGTTGATGCAGCTTTTGTTGCTATCTTTCAACAAAAGGATTGCGTTGATACAGTGCTGAGCGCACTACAAAAATATTCTGCAGATGTTTCCACAATATTTCAAGATGAAATACATCAAAAAGAACACTGAATCAATGAATGAAACATGAAAATAAATTCTAACAAAATCATTTTACGTCACAATTTACTCTGAACAGACAAGAATGTTCTATGATTCCGTTCAATGGATTATCTGTCTCTGAAGGAGATTCCGTAAAATATCATGGAATTGTTTTGAAACAGATAAGCATGTCCTATGATTACGCTCAATGGATTATCTGTCTCTGAAGGAAATACCGTAAAATATCATGGAATTTTTTGAATCGTGTTGAACAGACTAGCAACTCCTATGATTACTCTCAATGGATCATCTCATGGATCTCAATAGAATTAATTTGAGTTGTTTAACTTGAAAAAATCTTACCAAAGAGTCAAAAAGATATCAACTATATACGAGTATTATTATACCTTAACAAAGTTCTATAGCAACTTTAACATAGAAATCTTACAGAAATTTAAGTCATACTTTTTAGGCTTATATTTAATGAATTAATAAACAGCGAAATACATATATTAAAGACGAGATCAACAAACTTAGTGAAAGATACCTACTCACTTTTTAATATTATTATTATAACCCGAGGAGATCTATATTGCAGGACACATGAAAGAAGTTGCAAAAAACGAATACATGGATTAAGATATGGTTTAAATATGGAGTAGGGGAAAAGAAGTTGGTATAAAGACCGGTAGGTGGGATTTAAATAAAATTAGTGTGGATCCAGATGGAGAAAGCTTAACACTTCAATGGGTCGAAGTAGAAGATCAACACGGGCAATATTATGGATATTATGATCAATAGACTTGGACAAAAATTTAGCCATATAATGTATTAAGAAAAGTCTAATGATACTGAATGTTTTAGACTGAACCTGCCTTAAAGCCGAAAACAATCTTTATCAAATAAAGATGATTCTTAATAGACCGTGACAAAAATTTATGACCGGTTTCAAGCGGTGTTTGGAAAGAGTTTATATGTTGGAACTGTTTGTGTTTAACTTAAATATTTAAAGCTCACGAAAACTATTATTTGCAATTTTCATTGAATTGTGTGTAAAAATACTACAAGGTAAAACGTATATTATATAAGGGTATTATTTATTGTAAGTTGTTGTAATGAGAGATATACATATTAAATAAATAATGGATATTATGTAAGAAAAAAAAACAAGACAAAAGGTTTTTTGAATCATAATAATATTCGCAACATATATCTATGAAAACCATTATTTGATTAGGAACTTTTGATGTAGTCACCTTTCAATCCTAATATTATATCAGCAGAGATCGTTTGTTTAATATCTTTTATATATCATATGAATTAGTGTAATTATTAACCAGGTTGTCAAATTATTTAGTTACGCCTTTGCTGGCATAAAACTAATCTAAAAAACTTTACATTCGGTTTTTATGAACAAAATACCAGAATTATAAAATCATAAGCAATATTTGAAATAATGTAGTTGTTTTTGAGAATAAAATAATGTTGATAATTCCTTTTCAATCCAATATTTTTTAATAATTTCAATGCACGTTCAAAATTATTATTGCTTGTATACACATACTTACTCTTTCTAGAGAACCGGCATCCAATTTATTTAAACATTGTATAATATGTGCGTGATCCAGCCATGGTCGACCATCTTCAGTGACGGAATGGAATAGATAATCACGGAATAATTTTAACATATATCTATCACCAGTTTCAGACCACGTACAATCCAAGTTAAAACTGTATAATAAGCAAAATTATATATGTGTAGTTAGATAACAATTTTTTTAAAAATATATTTCTACAATAATTTAGATAAATATATATAATTAAAAATTTTGTTTTTAAAATGAATAATATTCTTGAAATATTTTTTAAACTCATGTCTATTAAATTAAATCACACATACTCTGGTCGCTCGTTGATACTATTTAGTTTAACCAGAATCCTATACAGACGTCCATTTTCCATTTCTTTTGAAAGTTCGTCTTCTTGCATGTCGCATTGGTTTTGTAATGCATCCAACTGTGTATAAAAGCGTGCACCAATCATAGGCATTAAATCAGTTACAGAACGTCTTTGTGTTGAGAAGAGATATCTAGATATAATCAAATAAGAGCTATGACCAATAGTCTTAAATGGAATATATTTACACAATTAAATTTCTCAGATCATTTGAATAATGACGTGCGACTGTTTCCAAACTTGTTTGTACATTGTTACGTTGAACTGATTGTAAACATCTACAAGCCAAAGCTAATACTAAACGACCCAATTCTGTTAAATCCTCCTAAATAGTTAAAGGGAATATAGTGCGTGTCATGAAAATATTGTTTCTAATCATATAAATTTTCAATTTTTTACCTGTTGATGCATATTCACAACAGCCAATGGATTAGTAGCGTTTGGATCAAACTGTGCTATATCATTTGTACCACAAAAAGCGAAGCGAACTCGTTTACCAGTCACAATTATTTTCGTTGGATCTAAGGATCTACATTATTAAAAAATAACTTTAATTAGTTAGTATAAAAAAATAATATAAAATAAACTTACTTGCATGCTAATCCTGCTTGATGAATTGCACGTAATCCTGCAGTCAATTGCATAACAATTGCCCAGATTGTTGCTTCCGGCAACAGTGGCCCATTGTTGGACTTCTGTGCACCTTTGTGGCTAAAAAAGCATAAATGTGTTATATTCAAAAAGCCATGCTAGTAGTGTGTGCATTAGTTAATTTCTTTAACGAATATAAAAACTATAAGCAAATGATTAATCTACTTGGTAAAGCATTGAACTTTATTTGTCAACAATGCTCTGAACATATTAAATTAAAGACATATGCTTAGGGTAAGTTGTTAAAGATTGATGGAATAATATCAATTTTGTACTCTTTTATTACTTATATCAGAGAAGAACATTTCTGTTTTAAACTAAAGATAATTTCGATTTTATATATATATACTTCATTAAAGACCTTATAAGATAAAAACAACCTTTAGCTAATTTATAAAAATTAATCATAGTGTAGAGTAGAATAGGACTGTATTGTTTTGCCTTAATTGTTAGATATAAAATTATAACGTGGAAGTTATTTAAGACGTGACAGTTCGTTTTGTAAAAGAAACCGATTCAGTTAGGCCCGAGAATTCGGATCGATTTGTTTAACAGTGCAAACCTAGTGCTTCTAAAACTAACGATGTGATTAAAATTAGTTTATTTAGAATTTTTTAACAAATATTTTAATAATATAATTCTTTATTTTAAACTTCTAAAATTCTTATTTAGAACCAAATAAATTTAAAGAGTAGTTCCTGCTAAAATGGTTGAAATTTATGCTGATGGAATCAGTATTGTAATTTTTTCTATTAAATTGGGTCAGCGTCTCGCTTTGACGCTTGACCCAAACAGCATCTATCAGACAGACTCTGTCTTGAACTAATAAGAAACTAATGGTTTCAAACATAAATATCGTATTTAACTCGAATATCTAATTAAACGTCCACCGCCAGTGAGCGTTTTTTCAGCTGTTCTTCAATTAATTTCAATAAATTAATTAAAATTGTGTTATTGTTTCTTCATTATTGTTCGAACCGTTCTGAAAACCTATTAAGTTACAAAGAGTATTTCAGTGTTTTATATATTTAAATTTTAAAATGGTAGCAAATTATTTATTTTAAGCAAAATTTAAATATTTTACCAACATTTCTTTTTATTAGAATCACATGATATATAGTATAGCAAATGGAATACATTTTCATATAGATATTTTTTTATAATTACCTGAAAGGTCGCGCATCACCTTGGAATGGATCTGAATAACCGTTTTCTTGTAGTGGCGTAAAATATTTCGTTAACAATGTCTGAGAGCCTGGATGATAGTCGTAAGCTAATACTAATGCTGAATTATGTCGATATTGTCGCAGTTGTTGTTACGATGGATTTTGTTACAGACGTTGTGAATGGGAAGCAAGTACAAATACATATATATATGTATATATATATATATCATATAGCAGAAATATATGCGCATATGCAAGCAATCAGGCAATCATTTTCAGACAGGCATATAGACAGCAAAGCAAGCATATTGTTGTTGTTTGGTTGGTTCCATTGGATATGTAAGGATAGGTCGAATCATAAAAAGGAATGGATTTTTAATTAGTTTCGAACAATAATTTTTTTAAGGATGTCTATAAATATTGCCTTACAATTATCACCAAATGCCTTAGTTGTGAAAACTTCACGTAATTGCACAACATTTGAGTGCTGCAATTTTTTCCACATATCAACAAGTTGCAAACAATTTTTAGACTGCAAACGAAAACCTATAAAAAACGAAATGAATTAATATTATTGATTAATAATAAAATGAAAATAGTTATATTCGCTTCAGGTTACCGTGTAATCTTCTTAAGCAATATTTAACGCCAGTGTTGCTGTTTGTTGCCTTGTATGTGGTTGATAACATAGTCAATTTACCATGCAACGGTTGTACCGATTCTAGCGGATACAACGAATGAAAATTTTCCATTTCAATAGGAATTGAATTTTGTGCTGTCTCATTGGGATCGAGCAGTAAATTCGAGATCTCATTGCGGGCAAGAACTTCTGAACGCATTTCTTCCGGCATAAAAAATGCTGACTCCAATTGGCTTTTTGGCTGTAATGATATTACATTGGAGGCTGGACCGGGGTATATGTGACCCGCATAGAGCAGTGATGACTGTACAGGCGTTATCGGCGCTACTACAGAAGGTGTTGCATGATGATTTGCAGCAGGATCCACATTATTCACAACAGAATTTGAATTCTGTGCGGCTGTGTGATTGGCAGTTGGATAAAAATATATTGTGCCGCCAACGTTTTCCTAAATAAATAATAATAATTTCTGTTAAATAATAATTACATAATTTTATATATTTATATATATATATATAGATGAGTTGCATTGTCAATAGATTATATTTATATAAATATATTAAAACTCAACCTGTTCAAAAATTTGTGTACCTGATGTACATTCGCCGATAGTGTCGAGGGTATTGGTGATACATGCGGTGTTATACGTGGCGGCGATTTCTCACCAATATTCGTTGGGGATTCGTTACGTTGAAGTAAGTTATTGCGTCCTTTTAGAGGTGTTGTCATGTTCACATACGGTTGTGTGGCAGTTGGTGGTGCTACAATTTGTTGATTCGCCGTTGTCGAGATTGTACCATTAAGTATTGAATGTTGCGGCTGTTGGGGCTGCTGTTGGATTTGTTTTTGTTGCGCTAGGACAGCAGCTGTTGCTTTCTGCATTCCTAACAAAGATGTTGAACCATTCACTAATTTTGTTGATGCTGGTGACAGGCCATTAATGTTTGTGCTATTTAAACCATTCGCCAGCATCGAATTATGATATGCTGAGTAAAAATTGGGTGAAGAGTTCATACGTGTTGGAATGAATTCGGGAGACTGAGGAGTTACCTGAAAATTGAAAAAGTAAGAAACAAATTGCATCAATGTAAAACCATTTAAAATTAGTCAAATGCATCGATAAATATTGAATTGATAAATAAAAATAACTAAATAATAAATTATATACAAATAATAAGTTACTCTCAATATTCACCACATTTTGGTGAATTTTACTTTCGACTGATATATTTTAAAAAATTCATATAGACTATATTGTTGTAAATGTTGTGCCAATTTTGAACGCTTTCAATTATAATTAAATATAAGTTTATAAAAATTATAAAAATAAATTATTTTCAATATTCACCTTTTACTTTGGTGAATTTTATTTTCGACTGAAATTTATTAGAAAGTTCTCATAAACTAATTGATATATGTTTTGCCAATTCATGAACATTTTCAATTATTGTTCAATATAAGTTTTAAAATAAATAGTATATTATAAGGAAAAAAATGATAATAAATCTATGAAATAAAATTATATATTTATTATTATACATACACTTCTGCTTAAAGAGCGATTATTATAGGTGATATAATTAAATTTATTTAATTTTTTAATAATAAAGAAAATTACAATTGAATTTTAATTAAATAAATTAAAAGTGAATAGTTTTATAAAATGTTCAAAATTAATAAATTCCAATTTATTTAAAATAACTTTTGAAAAAATTAATCATTAATTGTTATATTCAATTATAATTTTTAGAGTAATTATTAGGAAAATTTAAATTTTCGGTTTTTATTTTTAAGTTTTTAATTACAGATTTTTAATATCGATAAGATTGAATTAAGACTTATAGCCTGTCATAATTAAGACACATTTCGCATAAGTAATCTTAATTTGATTGTAGTTTTGATCGTTAAGTTTGCTTTGATAAAAATCTGTTCACACGGCAAATCTTATTTTAATTTAATGTAATTTATCATGTTTTTTTTGTTTTGTAGCTGCGTTCTTAAATAAAAATACTGAAGCCGTAGCATTATTAAAGTATTCACGAAATATATTAAATTTCTTAATATTTTTATTTCTTAAATCAATTGTTGTGTGAACTGAGTTACAATTTTGAGGTAAATACAAATAATATCCCAAGACAGTTTAATTAAAGACAATTTAATTATTAAAGAAATATAAAATCATTCGCTTAAGTTTTCTATTTCTGCAAGTATTACCAAAAAACTAATGGAGTTACGATTCGCAGCACAAATTATAAAAGTGAAAAGTGGCTATAAAACCTATCAGCTCAAAGCTTATTACATATAGAGTAGACAATCAGCTGTTATATGCTGCCCAAATTTAAGCAATTTAAGGGACATTCAAGATTTTTGACGAGTACTTTATTTGTGTTTTGTTTTGACAATTATTCACAATATTGCCAATATTCACAATAATGTACTATTATGAATCATGAAAATAATTTCAACTTGATTTTGTAGAAATTACAATTAAATCGTAACTTGGTTTTCAGATTTTTATATAGAAACAATTGTTATTTTTATATGATATTATAATGAAGTGAACCGAACTAGCAAAAATATAATTAAAATTAAGATTACTTGTGCCATGTGAATAGGCTTTTATTATTCTATACATATTTTATGGAAATTATTTTGAACATTTTTCGAATCGGCTATTGGTACTGTAAACATCTAAGCAATATACAACATAAAACCCCATCTTATGAGAATATACCGATCTTACATACTTTACAGACAATGTATAATAAGGACTGTTATGGCCGAATTTTTATATATCTTATCATGTGAACAACTAAAATTCATCCAATACTGTAATATTGGAAAAATTCTAAAAAACTTACACAGCAATTGTATATTAATACATACGTTTTAGATTATAAAACTTCAAAAAATATATATTTTAGTAGTTCGTATAATTTTATATGAGCGGACCAGAATTTCCATGGAAAATTTAGCAAAAAAAAATTTGATTTTTAAGCAGAAGTTCCATAAAGCAAACTAAATGTGATGTTACCTGAGATTTTTTTAATGATAATGGCGATTCCTTGCTAATTGAAAACCCCATATTAACACCATAGGTCGGTGTTGCCACATTTTGACGATTCTATTGATACAGTTTCAAGAATGCAAAGAAGTAGAAGAATAATTTTTGAAACAAGTAAACTAACAGTTAAAATTAGTTCGAATTATATAATATTATCTCAAATATTTTATATACAGTAGGATATATATAAGTTCTAAGATTTTTTATTTATATATATTATTTTATTATATTTTATATAAAAATATTTAGTTCAAATTTAACTCAAGTTGTTAACAAATTAAAATACATTGTTTTAGTTTTAGAAAAATTAAGAAGTAAATTTACATACTCTTTTTTATATTAGAAAATCTTTCCATATACGTATAAAGTATTTTTTTGACTTAGGTTTTTTAAAATTTTCACTACAGACAGAAGACGGTCTAAGATTTTTAGGGGGTTTTAATTTCCCTTGACAAAAAAATACATGAAAGCCTTATACTATGTTTAGACAGCCAAATTTCCTTAATTTCGTAAAAATGAAATTAAATTAATTTCGAAAGTGTTTTTAAAAGTTGATTATTATAATTATAAAGGACGACATTCAGTAGTTTTATTAACTTTAGTGGATATCAGGTATGTGAATTATAATTTTTCACTCTATTTTAAATTAATAACAGTTAGTTTTTTCTCTATATTAAAATATAAAATTTGCACTACTTTCAAAATATTTCCCAGTTTTATTAAAATCAACTGTCAATGACATCTATTTAAAAAAATGTCATTTTTTCGTTATCTCAACTTTATCTTTTGCTTAAAATTTATCTTACGCATAGTTGCATTTGAAATTTCCAATAATTTCAGCCTTTGTTCACCATTTTTCTTAATTTCGTTCTAACCTTGAAAACAACTTAACTTGGAAAAAACAACTTAATTTCGATTAAACGAAGATGAAATTAAGATTTTTGCGAAATTAAGGTGTGTCAGGTGTTTACATATTTCAAAATTAAGGATATTTTAGACATTGAAGGTGTATATTTATGTTGCGTATGAATTGAACTAAATAGCAACTAAAATAAAAGAGATACTAAATTGTGCGGATAAGGCAGTAAAAAATTTAAATCTCATCGATTTCTTAACTTCATTAAATGAAGTTTTGTAGAATCTACTTTGAATGAAAAATGAGAACTGACAACTAAAAACATTGAATGTTTACAAGTGGTGTGTATTTCTGAGAAAGTCCGTTTTATAAGGTTTAATAAGTAAATCAGGTAGAAATAGAAAATGCTTTTATTAGTAAGTGGACTAAATAACTTCAAGATGTTATAGATACCTTTTTACTCATAACATGTTTACGTTTCTATGAAACAACGGTACTAAAGTTTAAGGCCCTATCCCTATGCTCCACTTAGGAGAGAAGGACAGCAGTAAGTAAAGTGTAAAGTAAAAATTTTTGAAGAATATACAGTTTTGAAATTGATAAAAAAGGCAAAAAGCGATTATTATATTAAACCGGAATAATATAAGATATCTAAAACCACATAACCAGTGCAATTTTGGTCACTCTTGTTGAGTCTTTCAAAAGATCGAAAGAAAGACAGTTTGAAAGATTTTTGCTATTCTGGCACAAAAGTCTTTTAAAAAAGTCTTATCATTTGTAATTTAAGGTAGAAAGCTGTTTTATTCTATTGGTACGAAGTGCAAGTTACTAATTGAATTTGGATCTTGCGATTTATATTTAATTATTATTATTATTTATACATAAATAATTATTTACTGAATTTAATTCATGTCATAAAAGAAATGGTAGCAGCTATTACTGCATAAGGTACTGTAGTGGCAAAAATAATTAATTAGTTTTAAAATTATACCTTAGATATATATAAGTAAATAAATTTAAAAATTAATGTTATATATATATTAAAATTTTAATATCTATATTATACATTAGTATATAAAAAAACACATATTTCAAAATTTTTATTGACAGTATATTAATATTTTAACGTGTCCGTTGTATTAGAAATTAAATTAGAAATAATTGTTTCATTATTACAAATTATAATAAATTAATTAATTAATAACTTTTGTTTTAATTTTTATATATTTTATTTTATATAAAAATATTTTTTTAAAACGAAAAACACAAAGCAAATATCAGAGTTAATCGAAAGACTTGCTTAATAGCACATCTTTCATTGGTTTTTTGAAAGATCGAAGAGAGCTTTACGGCTTGCAAAAGACACCTACTAGAATACGAAACATTTTTAAAGGGATCTTTCGAAAGATTATTGAGTGTAGTGAGCTGAAAGACCATTGCCAGAATTGCCATATAAGTATGTATATCATGACATATAGTAAAAGAATTATGAAGGCACACATATAACTTCTGAGAAAAGTCATTTAAGAGACCCTTAAGCTTTTAAACGATAATCCTTATTATTTGAAAAAGCAGTCTGTCATACAGATAAAATCATGATTATTTTAATAAATAAATTTTAGAAATTAGCTTCTATATACTTATCCAAATATTATTAAAAAAAAAAGGATCTATACAAATTTATCTATTTATTCCTATTATTGATCGATCTACCGAACTCAATATGATTATCTGTATTCAAATATTTTTTTTTATTTGTTTAAAATTTTCTATTAATTTTAAAAATATTTTATTTTATTTATTATATTTCAACTTACCATGTATGTTGCCAGTTTACTTTCTGAAGGAATACCATTTGTTGGGGGATAAAATATTGGATCCATGGCAGCCGTGTCTGTAACAAAATTAAAAAACAACTGTTAGCACGTAATGGTAGATATAAACAAATTAACATTTACTACATGATACGTTGAATCATTAAAACACTTAATAATTAGTATTAATCTATGAACATAAAGAAACCAAACCATAAGTTCTAAATATATATCTTGTTCAAAATTCAAAATGCCTCCAACATTCACCATATAGTGTTGGAGGTATGTGCACCATATAATATAATGACACCTTACTTCCCAGTCATTATTAATTTCAATTTTTCTGCACCAATATTCATCAATTTTACTCTTTGGAAGACATACATTAAATTTTAATAAATTAACCCAATTCAGTTCTTTGATCTTGCCTATGTTTAATATCTGTTTTATCTATTTTAGATATGGTGTAAAGTAAATATTAACCAACGTCAATGTTGTGTGTACCACTTACAAGATGTATACCGATAAGATATTCAAATAAACACCAACGTTTTGATAAGACTTTTCATACAAAAATTTTTAATTTCTGACTTAAATAAAGCGCAAATAATCTTTAAACATTAACAAAATAAATGTAATAATATTTTAATTTTTTTTTATTAACAATTTGCTTTCATCTGACATATTTGGCAGAGAGTATTGTAATTTATTAAAATTTATTTGAAACTAACAAATAACTAAATCAAGTAAAAGAAATTCGACCATCTCTATTCAGTTGAAGGATAGTTCTTATAGGACATATGAAATCAAACCAAATGAAATTGGGTATATAATAAGGCACGTTTATTAATATTATGGTTCCGACAATAAACACGAGTAAAAGACCAAGGGATTGAGCTTTTGATAGTTTTTTTTTAATATGTGGACCTTATCATTAGATGTGAAATACATGATTTAAATACCTTCCATGGGGTATCTTACAGTATTGAATCATTGCGACAATGTTTATAACCTGATCGGTCAAAAATTGACGGTTGTTTATTTTCAAAATAGAAGTTTAAAAGGTTAAGTGGTGACTAACCAAAGATGTTCCACATTCTTATTTTCAATTTTAATTCAGAAAAAACCTTTTAACCTTTTTCTTTTTAAAAAAATACGGTTTTATT